AGGTTTCACCATGTTAGCCAGGATGGTCTCGATCTCCTGACCTCGTGATCCGCCCGTCTCGGCCTCCCAAAGTGCTGGGATTACAGGCTTGAGCCACCGCGCCCGGCCCATTTACTTATTTTTTAAGAGAGAGGGTCTTGCTATGTTGCCCAGGCTAGAGTGCAGTGACACTATCATAACTTACTACAGCCTTGAACTCCTGGGCTCAAGCCATCCTCCTGCCTCAGCCTCCTGAGTAGCTGGGACTACAGGTGCAAGCCATCACACCTCATTAATTTTAAAATTTTCTGTAGCAATGAGGTCTTGCTGTGTTGCTCAGGCTGGTCTCAAACTCCTTGCCTCAGCGATCCTCCCATCTCAGCCTACCAAAGTGTTGGGATTACAGGGGTGAGCCACCATGCCTGGTCCCGTAAAGGCCTTCTTGAGGGAAATGACTGATCGAGCAAAGGCAGTGTGTGTTGGGGGAGCAGATTGGGAGGATATGAGAAAAGTCTTAAGGGTGTTGAATTCAGGAACGGTATCTAGAGAGCTATGAGACTAGGGATTCCTGTGCCCAGTAGTGTATTGGGAAACTGGCTCTCAGAAACAAATGTAGCTTTTGCCAGTTTCCATACTGTAAATCCTACCCTAGTCAATTTCAAGTTCCCATGTGATGTGGCTAAACATGGAGTTGGAAAGTTATGAGCGCAGTCGGCTCTCCAGTGCCGTCGGGAGCAGGCTCCAGGACACCCCACCATGCCCAGTCCTGATCCCTCTTCTGGGATGAGGAGCCCTCTCTCCTCCATGTCTGTGAGCCCTCCCTGGGCCCTGGGCCCAGCATCTCAGATCAAGCGAAGACTCAGCCTGTCCTGGACAGAGGGCCCATTGGGAAGGCGGGAGCCCTGACCTTGGAAGCTCTCGATCAGATTTCTCAGCCAGGATGAAAATCCTCAGATTCCCCCAGCTCAGCCGTCTGGAACTGCCCTGGCCACTGAAGTGTGGGCCTTCGTCCATGCCTAGAATCTGGGGCTGGACCTGCATTCCACCTGGGCAATGTCTCCAGGACCTAGCCTCAGAGCTAAGCCACCAAATGGGGCTCAGTATCAGGCACAGGACGTCCCACAATGGCCATGACATTTATTGAGTGCTTGCAGCATTCCAGGCTGTGCTAAACACCTGGCACTTATTTCTTTTCCAGCCTCATGCTCATTCTAGAGGTGGATGCTATCAGTATCCCCACTTTACAGATAAGGAAACTGAGGCACTGAGAGAGTAACTCACTTGCCCAAGAACACTTGGCTTGGAAGTGCAGGTGCCAGGGTTCAATCCCAGGTCAGCGTGATGCTAAACCTTCTTTGGTAAACCCTGAACTCAGCATTTCTCCCCACTTAAGTCTTTATGAAGCACCTGCTGTGTGTATCTCATGGGTGTTAGACTATGGAGGGAGATGGCAAGAAGATGGTTATGAATTTGCCTTTAAGGAGCTTGGGGTTGGGGTTTGGCCATTTCTTGAGCACCTACTATGTGCCAGGAATGACGCTAAGTGCCTTACTCTGCCCTCGAGATTAACTCTCATAATAACCCTGGGAGAATCACAAGCCTGCCCTCGCCCTGCCTAGCTGGATGGTCCCCCGCAGGCCACATACTCTCTCTGGTCTGCCTTTCCCACTTTGGTTCCTTGACATGGACTGCCCTAGGCAACCTCCAACTCCCTGCTAGTTTCAGGTCAGAGCTTCTCAGAACAACAGGAAATGGCCGGGCCATGTGGAAAGTTTGGGGAGTGTGGCCAGCGCCCCAGGCAAATTGTGGGGTCACACTCCAGATATTGCACAGGTGACAGAGCTGGCTTGCTGGAGGCCCAGCTGGCACAGTCTATATCCTTGGTATTTCCCCCTGGGGAGCTGGGGAAGGGTGTTTGGGTATGTGACTTCCTGCTTAGCTCTGGAAGATGGGCCAAGATTGCTGCGTGGCAGTTTGGCTGGCATCCCATGGGGGCTGTAGGAACAGGCCCCTCAGGTTCCATCATCGGGAGGTTCCAACAGGGGTCCTGGGGATCTGGAGGCCTGTCTGAGGTCTTTGCAGGCTCACAGAAGAAAAAGGCTCAAATGGCAGTTTCCACTAAATGTATGTGGTGGGGGGCGGCGGGGGCAGGGGGGCAGGATTCCTGTCTTAAAGCTGCAGTTACATAGCAAATACCATAAGTACCATTCCCCTCACCACCTTAGGTGGTATCTTTTCTTTGGGGGAGGATCTGGGGTAACTGATAAAGATCACAGTGGGCCAGGCGCGGTGACTCACACCTGTAATCCCAGCACTTCGGGAGGCTGAGGTAGGTGTATTGCTTGAGATCAGGAGTTCAAGACCAGCCTGGCCAACATGGTGATATAAAAATACAAGCTACAAAAATCCACTAACAATATAAAAATTAGCCGGGCATGGTGGTGGGTGCCTGTAGTCCCAGCTACTCAGGAGGCTGAAGCAGGGACTTGAACCCGGGAGGCGGAGGTTGCAGTGAGCCAAGATGGAGCCCCTGCCCTCCAGCTGAGCTAAAAAAAAAAAAAGGTTCCATCATCGGGAGGTTCCAACAGGGTCCTGGGGATCTGAGGCCTGTCTGAGGTCTTTGCAGGCTCACAGAAGAAAAAGGCTCAAATGGCAGTTTCCACTAAATGTATGTGGTGGGGGGCGGCATGGGGCAGGGGGCAGGATCTCTGTCTTAAAGCTGCAGTTACATAGCAATACCATAAGTAATTATTCCCCTCACTCACCTTAGGTGGTACTTTTCTTTGGGGGAGGATCTGGGGTAACTGATAAAGATCACAGTGGGCCAGGCGCGGTGACTCACACCTGTAATCCCAGCACTTCGGGAGGCTGAGGTAGGTGTATTGCTTGAGATCAGGAGTTCAAGACCAGCCTGGCCAACATGGTGATATAAAAATACAAGCTACAAAAATCCACTAACAATATAAAAATTAGCCGGGCATGGTGGTGGGTGCCTGTAGTCCCAGCTACTCAGGAGGCTGAAGCAGGACTTGAACCCGGGAGGCGGAGGTTGCAGTGAGCCAAGATGGAGCCCCTGCCCTCCAGCTGAGCTAAAAAAAAAAAAATTCACAATGGGAGGGGGTCTTTAACGACTCCTTTGGGCTATTATTGTTCTGGATCTAACTCCTGATGACCCTCATGCCCTGCTGAGGATGTTGCAATACTTCTAAGCCTTGGAGCCACCCTGCTGTGATCCATTTCCCAGGACGGGGTTAATCTCGAGACCCCCGCCTCTGGTGGGTCAGAGACTCACCAGGCAGCCACCAGCTGGGAATAGAATTCCAGGGCTCTGAGTTCCTCATCAGCCTGTCTGGGGGTGCTGTGGGGAGTCACAGGGAGAGACTGGGAAGCAGACCACTGGCGCTGGGCAGAGCCGGGCAGGGCACTCCTGGTCCCGCCGGGTTCGGGCGCGTCTCCGCACTTAATCTGCAGGGGCATCCCATTGGTGCCTGGCCTTTCTAAGAGGTCTTGGGCAGGTCAACAATGAACTCACAGGAGAAATATGTGTGAACAGACTGTTCTGGGACAGGCCCTGCCTGTCATATTATCTCATTTAAAATCAGAGAAATGTACAACCTGGGAGCCACTGGAGCAGAGAAAAAGGAAAGAAAATCTCTGCCTGGAGTGGAAGAGTGTCCTGGAAGCCTTCCCAGGATAGGTGACGCGTGGCCACGCCAAAAGACAACAATCAGAATATCAAACACTTTCTGACGTGTATTAGGTACTTGTCATTGTCCTGAGACTTTTATCTTCATTAACTCATTTAACTCTTTCAAAATCCTGTGATTGCAATGCGATGTCATCCTCACTCAACAGATGAGAAAACCAAACCAAAGCACAGAGAGGTTGAATGGCTTACCCAAGTCCAGACAGCTACTAAATGGACAGTCAGGATTCGAACCCGGGAAGGCAAATCAATTGCTGATCAGAGCCCTCCGCCAAGGTATTTAACTCCTCTGAACCTCAGTTTCTTTATCCATAAGCTGCGGGTAATGGGGTAATAGTGCAGCAGTGTGTAGTGTACATCTGTGAAGGCAAAATGAGCTAATCCCCAGTAAAGCGCTTTTTAAAACAGTGCCTGCAATTCCATGAAGTGTTCAAACAACTGCGATGACTTTTTATCATGGCTGTAGTGGTTACCTTCAAGTCTTCCCCTCCCCCATCCGGCCGCGGCTTCTCCCCGCAGTGCCAGCCCGTGACGTTAGAGGAGTCTGGGTTCTGTGTTTAACTGGAAACTAGAACGAGATGGGAAGAGGATACCTGAGGCCCCTCCTGACTCTGAACGGATGCCCAGGGAACATGCACCCTCTTCGCGACGCCTCCCACCCACTGGGCTAATACTTGCTCCTGTACCGGGGGTGCGGAGGTTGAGAGGGAGGCTGGTGTCTGCATGGTAGGCAAGGAGGGGTGGGGGCGGAGAAGTGTGAATATGTTGAATGAGGGACAGGCGGGGACACAGACCATGTCTTTTGAGCCCAATGCCAACTCACTCAGAGCCATGGCCACGCCTATCAGGACGGGGCCCTCCCACCTGGTAGTGCACCCTGCTCTCCGCCGCCCGTGCGCTCTGGCGCGCATGACTGGGGTGCCGGCAGAGGGCGCGCGAGGGGGGCCGGGGTCAGGTGGTACTCCTGGGCGGAGGCGGGATTGGGGAGGTCCTGCCCCTCCTGCCCCCTGCCCGCTCAGCCTGGGCTTGCCTGAGCTCCAGACGCCAGGCAAGAGCTCCGCTGCGCCCCCTGCAAGGCTCCTCCTGCCGCAGCACGGCTCCTACCTGTAGAGTCCGGACGGGCGCTCCCTCCCCGGGCACCTACACCTTCTCCTCCTTCTCGAAGTCTCCCGTCCAGCTACCTGGGTCTCGGACAAGGCACCGGGACCTCGGGAGGCAGGGCGCCAGGCTTGAAACAGGTGACATGTAGATCGCTCTCGGTCCAACCTCGGAACCTGAGAGCCCTTCTGCCTGGAAAGTTTGTGGCTGTGGCGCCATGGCTGAAGAGCAGCTCCTGAATGTTCGCGTGGTGGAGGGCCGCGCGCCACCCGCCAAGGACGTGTGGAGTACCTCTCGGGCGCTTCTGCAGTGATGGGCGCGCAAGGCCTGGGGTGGCCGATCGCCCTTTCTGCCAGAGCGGGTTGGCAGGAGGGCGAGGGGCCTGGCCCAAGACTGGCATTGGGGCAGATCCGCTTTAAAGGGGCGAGAGGCCCCATGCCCATGGCTGTCCCGTGGGAGGGGGCACTCAGATCTAGCAGATGCCCCGCCCACCCCCTGGGCAGGGAGGGATATCTTTGTTCCTGGATGTACTAAAGGGGACTTCAGAGCTGAAGAGGGGATTAGAGGCCAAATTCTGTCAGATCTGGGAGTGGACAGCCGGGGGTCTCTTCCTTAGTCCAGTCATGTGTTGGAGGCGGCTCCTCCAGGCTTGAGTGGGGCCTAGCAAGGAATCCTGGGAGGACCTCGAGGGCCTGGGATCAGATGAGCCCCAACATCCTGTGTGGATTTGGTGCTTAGGTTTGCAGAGTGTCACCAGGTGGCCCTCCAGGGTCCCTTTAACCCTAAGCCCTGAGCTCTGTAGCCCTGGCCCCAGCCTCGTGGGCCTTTCCCGTGGGCTGAACTGCTTGAAGAGCTGTGCCACGCTGGGAGCCCCACTTCAGCCAGATGTGATGGGACTGGGGGACCCACACTCCCTCTTCACTACCAAGTCCCAAGATATGCTTCCCCCCGGGCTGAGTCAGCTGCTGAATCAGCAGAATGTGTGTGGGGGCCTCTCCTGCTTGGCCCAGGCCCCAGGAGGGGCTCTGAGGGCCTCAGCACCTGCGACAGGTGTGGGATCCTCCGGAGGACATGTGCTGTGTGACCTTGAACCTGCTTGTCTCTGGGCCTTGGTTTCCCATTTGGGCAATGAGAGCTCTGGACCTGAGTCCCTGTCTGGTTGCCTGGGGTCTCCCATCCAGCTGGGAGGGCGGAAGACCTGTTAGGAGTTCCCCTGTGGCCCAGGTGAGCAGGAGCATGTATTGGAAGCTTCTCGCCTGTGTCGAGGTTCGGTCTTAGCTCTGTGCTGATTCCCAAGCTGTGGATCCTGAGAGGACTTTCCTGCCTGATTTTATGACACTCCCAACCCCCAAAACACTGCAGCTGTGTTAAGGGGGCAGCTGTTGAGAAAATTTTGCCATACCCTTCATCCTCATCGGCTACTCCAAATAAACACTCCTGAATGAGAAGCAGAGGTGTGCTGTGACAGTTCAGTGACTGGACAAGCCCCCTCTTCTGAGATGTCCCTCAGAGCTCCTGGGAATGAGACAGCCTACACTGGGTTAGGGCATGAGCGAAGGCTGGGGGCCTGGCAGCGGCTAGGCGGTGAAAGGAGTCCTTTCCAGAAACAGGTTCCCACTCACTGAGCTCTGGCCCCTCCACCAGTCCGGGTGAGAGGTCATGAGGGGGCGATGGGTGTCTCCCCCTGCACTCCGACACCGGGCTCACGGTAACCTGCTGCTTCTCTGGAAAAGGGACTTGAGCTGTCTGGTTCCTGCAGCTCTTGACCACCCTTCCTGCCCCAGTTCCTGGGCCAGTGAGCGGCGAAATAGGCCGTGCCCTAGCAAGGGCGGGGAGGGTTTGCCTTAGGCCTCAGCTGGGGGCGGTCCAGCCACCCTGCCTCAGTTTCCCTAGATGTCAGCACCCTTCTTCAAAGGGGCTCTTCCTGTAGGCTTCCTGTAGGCTTCATGCCTGGGGCTCTTAGGTGGGCTGTGTTTATTCCCTCTCTCCTAAGGGAAAGGGCCCAGACTCTGCCTAAAAGCATTGCCAGGTTTGGGGGCGTCCATTCTGGCCTGGGAGGAGGCCCTTCAGGTAATTTTAGAGTTTTTACTATTAAAAATAGTATAGTCAGTCACTGAGGGCCAGGCATGAGGCCCTGTGCTTAACACTTCATATAGTCCTATTGGCGTCTCTAGTTTACAATGGGGAAATCTGAGGAACAGAGCTGTGCAAAGTCACTTGCCTAAGATCACCCAGCTGCGATTTGAACTCTGACTACTCCATGCCCAAACCAGACTGGGCAGGCGATGGCTGAGGGGCCTGCTTTCCCAAGCTCGAGCTGAGTCAGGGGGCCGTGGAGAGGCCATGAGTCTGCAGAGATCAGGGTCTGGAAGCAGCCACCCTCTTGCCACTGTCGCCTCCCTGATAGGAGTCTGATAAGGCCCTCATGCGGGCCAGAGCCCTGCAGCTGACTAGTGCTGAGCTCGGGCTCCCAGAGGGCCTGGAGGTCAGGCTGGTTCTGCAGGACGGGGCGTGCTTCCCAGCCCCCTCTGCTAGTGGGATCCTTAGCCCATCTGACTCCACATCTGTAGTTGGGGAAACTGAGGAATGGGAGTCTGCATAAAGGAAGCTTAGGGGTGGAGAACCCAGGGAGGGAAACTGAGACACAGGGCATTACCCAGCCACAGGTGTCTGAGGGTGAAGCCCAGATGGGGAAACTGAGGCTTCTGGGGTTACCCAGTCCAATGGATTTGGGATGGAGCCAAGAAGGGGAAAACTGAGGCCTGGGGCACTCTAAGCATGAGATATTCAGAGGTGGACCTACAGTTCATTAAGACACTGACCATCACCTGCTCCAAAGTGTTCAGGATAGAAGCAGGTAGGGAAATGGAGGCATTGGAGCGTCCAGCCAGAGGGGGATAAGAGAAGGAGTTCAGAGAGGGAAACTAAGGCACAGGAAGGGCTTATCCAGCAAGATAGGTTCAGTTGGCCAACTCTTATTAGCTGAGCATCCCTCTTCTGAGGCATTTGCGGATCTATACAAACTGACAGAAAGACGGTGGCAGAGGTCAAGGGAGGGTGCTGGAGCATCGAGGAGAGGGCCATTTGGATGGGTAGAGGTGGCATTGGTTTAAGAACGCGAGTGTGAGCCCACAAAACTGGATTCCAGTCCTATCTCCACGATTACTCCCTGCCTCCAGAGAAAGCACTCCATAAACTCCAGTCATTCAAATAGTCTGGAGAGCCAATGCATGCTAGATGTGGGGGCAGGGGTGGGGAAGGCGGGACATGACTCTTCCCAGGAGTTCACAGTTTGGAAGTGCAGGGAGGTGGGGAGACAGACACTAAACACATAGAGAAATAAGGGAGGCTGGGCGTGGTGGCTCACCCTGTAATCCCAGCACTTTGGGAGGCCGAGGCGGGTGGATTACTGGAGGCCAGGAGGTGGAGTCTAGCCTGGCCAGCATGGTGAAACCCCAGCCTGACTAAAATTGCAAAAATTAGCCAGGCAAGGGTGGTGTGCACCTGTAATCCCAGCTACTCGGGAGGCTGAGGCAGGAGAATTCGCTTGAACTGGGAGAGACAGAGATTTCTGTGAACTCAAAACGCGCCACCGTACTCCAGCCTGGGTGACAGGGCAAGACTCTGTCTCAAAAAAAAAAAAAAAAAAAAAAGAAGAAGAATAAAGAAGATGATTTTAGGTAGATGTCATTTAGACAGACAGTGGTGGTTATGGGACAGCCTCTCGAGGAGGCTACTTTGGACTGAGACTTGAATGGCAGGAAGGAGCCAGCCATGGTAGTATCAGGGCTAAAGTGTCTTAGGCAAAGGAATAGCAGGTGCAAAGGCTCCTGAGGCTGGCCGGGGCCTGATGAAAGACAAAGGAGCCTGTGTGATGGGATGGAGGAGAAGTAAGGGCCTGTTAGACAGCTTGGGATTTGCAGGTGACTATTATTATGAAGGGGGGATGGAGCTGGCCTGAATTGGCAGATGACCTACAGCTACTTAAGGGGCTGCAGCACATCTTAAGAGATTCTGAGGGTTGATTTTGAGGCCTGCCTCTGGTCTTTGCCTGTAGGAGGGTCCGCTGAGTCTGTCCCTGTGGACGGCGTTGAGGAATGGGAGTCCCCTTCCCAGGAAGCCCTAACGAAATGAAAAGCTGGGACACAGCTAAAGCCCCTGCAGGCAGGGGGGAGAGCTGGGGCCAGACCATGATCCAGCCTCGCACTTGAGTTCCCTCCAGATTCTCTAGGAGGTATGTATGTGAGCATCACACCTGACGAGGAGCAGAGAAACTGGAGGCCGAGAGGGAAGGACTTGCTGGGATGGCACAGCCAGAGGGTGGTGAAGCCAGGCATTCAAGACGCTCCCCCGACATGCTCTGGGCCTCTGCATTGGGCTTTTCGCCAGGACTTGAACCTGCTGGTCTCAGGCCTCCCGTCCATTTTCAGGTGGAAGCCCAGAGCGCACAGATGTGGTGGCCTGGGCAGCTGTGATATCTCCTGCTGGTCTCCTGAGGTTCTACTTCTGAGCTCGACTTGCTGTGTGACCCTGGGCAAGTCCCCTTCCTCGGTGCGTCCCGCCTCCTGCCTGCGTCATGATGGGGACCTCCACCCATGGCTGCTGTGTCAACCTGCTTCCCTGAACCCCTCTCCTTCTGCAGGTTCTACAGCGACCCCTACTGCCTAGTGAAAGTGGATTTACGAGGTGGTGGCCAGGTGAGGGGTGGCAACACCAGGCCTGCGGGGAGAGGAGGAAGGGAGGGGCTCCCTTTTCTAGACTCTGGGAATCTGGGACCAAGAATTCACATTTAAAGGGGTGCTTACCCTGAGGGGGACTCGCAGGCCTGAAGGGGGTGATTTGTGCAGCTGGATTGCCAGGCTCCTCTTCCTGACCAGCCCTGCCTTCACCCTCTGACCTGATGTCCCTGCTGGCTCCCTGGGCTGACTCAGCGCTGCCAGCCTATGCCTCTGCAGTGGCCTCCCCTGGGGCGGCAACCTACGCTCTGACTGACTGGCTGGTTCCGCCTGCCGGGTGCTGGGTGGGCACTGGGGATGTCTGTGTGCATGGGTGCGTGCATGTGTGTCTGTGTGTGCACTCGCCTAGCTGGGCCTGCTTGTGAGTTGCAAGGGTGGGGGATGTTTCGGGCTAGTGTGTGAGCGCCTGTGACCATGTGCCTATGTCTCTCGTGGGTGTGCAGGGCACAGGCTCAAGTGTGTGTACCAGTGTAGTGTGTGTGTACATGCACATGCACATGGCTGCTCTGCACATGTGAACACCAATGCCTGCTGATTTGGTCACAGGCACTGGTGGACACATGAGGGTGTGAGGATGTTTGGGGTGTCTGTGAGTCTTGCAGGGGGATCTCAGGTTGGGCCTTGCTTGGCTCCCACCCCCGCAGGCCGAGGGACAGCTCAGCCTGGTGGGGGTGGGTGGGCTGGTGGGTGGCTGAGGCCTGCTCCTATGGAGATGCAGGATTCAGATGCTCCTATTCGGGTCCAGATGGGCTCACAGAGCTGGGGGTGGGGAGCCTGCCTGGGGAGGGGCCAGCTGCAGCTCCCCTCCACTGACTTCCTCCACTGTCCCCCTGTGCTCATGCTGGCTCCCTTTGATACTGTCCCTGACACTACCCCAACCCCACAGATTGATTTTCTGTGTGACTCCCAGGCTGCTGTTCTCCTCTCTGGGCTGTAAGAAGCCTTTCTTGTGGGCCTGTGGAGCTGGGAGTCTAGAAGACATTTGACTGGGAAAAGGTCAGGTTGGGGAAAGAGGGTATTTTGGGAGGAAGCACTGGGGGTCCATCTGAGGTTGGTGCCACTTGGCTGAGGAAGAAGGCAGTGTGTGTGTGTGTAGCGCGCATGCACATATGTGTACTCTTTCTTAGGGTACAGTGTGGTGAAAGGAGGGAGGAAGGGAGCAACAGGTGTGAGGAATAACTTTGCATCCACAAATGTGGGTGTGTCTTCTTTACTGGGCAAAGCGGAATCTTTGTTCTCTGCTGCAAAGGGAAGAACGCAGGGGGCGCAGCGGCAGAGATGCTGTGTGTGCACCTGCTTCTGGGCTTGTCTTGGTCCCCATTCCTCCTGCCTCCCCTCCCTGCTCACTGTGTACTTCAAAGCCCTGAGTGCTCTGTCCCCTGCTCACCTCCCGTCTCTGGCCCTCTCCTCCCCATTCCCACCAGACACCTTCCTATTCTTCAGCTCACCAAACTCATTGCTGCCACAGGGCCTTTGCCCATGCTGTCCCAGCCTTCTGGAATACTTGTCCTTTTCCTCGTTGTCTCTCCCACGCTACCTGGACTAGCTCCTTGCAGCAGGAAGCCTTCCTGATCCTCCGACTTACCCTCAAGACTCCAAATCCATTTTGGCTCCTTGAGCTAACTCCATCCTGGTGACTTCTCCCACCATGTCCTAATTGCTGGGAGACAGCGCCTGCCAGGGAAGGGGGATCTGTGGGTAAACCCTCACACCTTCCCCTCTGATCCCTCCCTGAACTCAGCACAGGCTGGGGCCTAGTCCAAGTGAATGTTTATGGAGTACATGAACAAGTGAGGAGTGGAACTGTGTGTGTGTGTGTGTCAGTGACTGTGTGTTTGTATGACTCTGTGTGTGTGTGTGTCTACAGGTATCTGCTTTTATATCATTGTATAAAGCTGTGTGTGAGTGTGTGTCTCTGACCGAGGTGTCTCTGTGTCTTTGACATATGTCTATTTTCATGAATGTGTCTGTTTTCTGTGTGTCTCTCTGCATGTGCCTGGTGTCTGTATTTCCAAACACAAAGGCACATATTTTTAGGACTTTCTGAGGGTGCATATGTGTATCTGCTTATGTGTAAATGTGTCTCTGTCTCTGGCCTCCTTGATGTATCTGTGAGCGACTCTGTCTCAGTGTGAATCCGTGTAAGGCATCTGCACATATGTTTCAAGTGGTCGTTGTGCGTGTCTGTTGGTCTCTGTGTATCTGGGACCTTAGTTGTGTATTGGGGCCTTGTGTGTGTGTGTGTGTGTAGGATCATGTTTGCATGTGCCTTCTCAGTGTGTGTGTATGTTTAGATCTTGGTATATGTCTGATACTCTGGGTATGTGAGTGTTGGGGTGTGTAGAGGATCATGCGTGTGTTCTGCATGTGCCTCTGTGCGTGTGTGTGTATTGAGATCTCTGGTGTATGTCTGATACTCTGGGTATGTGAGTGTTGGGGTGTGTGTGTGTGTCTATGCCTGGATTCATACATGCTCCAGTGTCCCTGGGTGAGAGTAAGCATATCTAGGATCTTGGAGTGGCTGTCCTTGGGTGCAGCGTGTCTGGGCCTCTAGCCAGGTTCGTGTGGGGGTCTCTGAGTGTGTGTGTTTGTCTGGATTTCCGTGTGTGTGTGTGTGTGTGTGTGTCTGGGTCTCCAGGTGTCTACCTCCTGTGTGGCCTGCTGACCCTGTGCCCCTGCACCTCCTTTCCGCAGGACAGCGACTGTCTGGAGGGAGCCTGGGCCCTCTCTGGGGAGGAGACACTGTGCACCTTGCCTCTGGATTTCCACCAGCTGGCCTTCATGCTGGACGAGACACCGCCGGGTGTGTGGCTGGGGAAACTGGAATGTGTGGGTTGGGGACCCAAGCCTGGGCACCTGAGGGGAGAGGGGATGTGGGTCCACACCCCTGAGGGCGTGCCCTCCCACCCAGACCTTGACAGCTGCCCCACTCTCTGGGTGGGCAAAGGACTCCTGACTCGACCCTCACGTGCTGCCTGCCTTCCCTGCAGGCACTACGACATCATCGGCAAGATCTCGCTGGAGCAGGAGGAAGCATTACAGCTGACCCCAGAGGTGGGCGACGGGCACGGGCAGAGGGAGGAGGGGGCCATGCCCAGGGTGGGCATTTGCAAGGGCATAGCACGTGGCACAGGAAGACAGAGCCTTCAGTGGAAACTTATTTCTCTTGCTGCTTTTGTCTTTACTTTTGTTTGTTTTTAATTGTTGTTGTTAGGAGACAAGGGCTTGCTCTGTCACCCAGGCTGGAGTGCAGTGGTGCTATCATAGCTCACTGCAATCTTGAACCTCTGGGCTCAAGCGATCCGCCCATCTCAGCCTCCTGAGTAGCTGGGATTACAGATGCACACCACCACACCCAGCTAATTTTTTTCAGAAATATCTTGGTAGACATGGAGTCTTGCTATGTTGCCCAAGTTATTTTAATCCCTGGCTCAAGCAACCCTCCCACCTTGGCCTCCAAAGTGTTGGGAGTACAAGTGTGAGCCACTATGCCCAGCCTTGTCTTTAGTTTTTGAGCAGTTGTTTGGTTTGCTCAATGTTCAGATTTTTTACACAAGCACCAGCTACTTGTTCTTTCCTGACATTGTCATTTGTGTGTCCTTCAGAAATATTTTAAACATATATAAGCAAGTGAATAGTCATAATAGCAGGCTGGGCATGGTGTGCTCGCACCTGTAATCCCAGCACCTTGGGAAGCAGAGGCAGAGGCAGGAGGATCACTTGAGCCCAGGAGTCCGAGAGCAGCCTGGACAACATAGGAGACCCTCGCTACTAAATATAATTTAAAAATAGTAATAGCAGCAAACATTTATATACTGTATCTATAAATATAAACATACAACATATATTTATATGTAATAAATACAAATGTATAAATATTATTCTGAACACTAAGTTCTTTACATGTATGGACTCAGTGAGGGAGGTTCATCATAACCCTGAGAGGTAGGTGTCAGAGATCATTAACGCTTCACTTTATAGGTGAATAAACTGAGGCACGGAGGGTTAAATGATTTGCTCAAGATTACATTATTAAGTCAGACAGCCAGGATTTGAACCAAAGTTGTCTAGTTCCAGAGTCTGTGCTTTTTTTTGTGAGACAGGTTCAGTATTCTGTCACCCAAGGTCGTGGAAGTGGTAACTTTGGTTCACTCGTGCTCAACCTCCCAGGCTCAAGTGATTCTCCCACCTCAACCTCCCAAGTAGCTGGGACTACAGGTGTGCACCACTACGCCTGGCTAATTTTTGTATTTTTTGTAGAGGCAGGGTTTCACCATGTGACTGTGTTTGGTCTTGAACTCTGGTTCAGATCCGGGGCTTGCTCGCCTCCCAAAGTGCTGGGATAACAGGTGTGAGCCACCGCACCCAGTCGAGTCTGTGCTCTGAATACTGCGTTTTTCTGGCTGGGTGTGGTGGCTCACGCCTGTAATTCCAGCAATTTAGGAAACAAGGCAGGCGGATCATGAGGTCAGGAAATCGAGACCATCCTGGAGCAACAAGGTGAAACTCCTGTCTCTACTAAATACAAAAAATTAGCTGAGTGTGGTGGCGGCGCCTATAATCCCAGCTACTAGGAGGTTGAGGCAGGAGAATGAGCAACACAGGAGGCGGAGCAGGAGCAAGATTGCCGATTGCAGTTCAGCCTGGCGAGCAGAGCAAGACTCCATCTCAAAAAAAAAAAAAAAAAAAGCCGTTTTCTGGAATTTGGCACAAATTGCAGCCTTTTACACTCTACTCTGTATCTTGCCTTTTAAATTTTTAATTAATTAATTAATTAATTTTTGAGATGGAGTCTTGCTCTGTCACCCAGGCTGGAGTGCAATGGCGTGATCTGGCTCACTGCAACTTTTGCCTCCTGGGCTCAAGCAATTCTCCTGTCTGAGTCTCATGAGTAACTGGGATCATAGGGGTCTGCCACGCACCTGGCTAATTTTTGTATTTTTAGTAGAGATGGGGTTTCACCATGTTGGTCAGGCTGGTCTCGAACTCTTGACCTCGAGTGATCCACCCGCCTCAGCCTCCCAAAGTGCTGGGATTACAGGAATGAGCCACGCCACCTGGCCTGTACCTGGCCTTTTTACTTCACTAAGTATCTCTGAGAGATCTTTCTGTACAGTGCTGTGCTGTGATTTCCGCATTCTTCTCGCTTGGGGATGGCATCGTGTGGGTGCTCCATTGTGTGGCTTTACCATTATTTATTTGGCTAGTTCCCTATTGATGGCATCTAGGGAGTTCATAGTCTTTCCCTGGTTCAAGCAATGCCATAATAACTAGCCTGTACAAATAAACTTTCACACATATGTAAGTTATATCCATCACCTGTGATAAATTCTAGAGTTGGAATTAAAGAGGCACACATCTGCGTACTTGATAGCTGTTGTTATATCACCCCTCCACGGAAGAGGTAACACCACTACTCCCACACTCTCGAAATGTTATCAAACTTTTGTGATCAATTAGCTGTAAATACTACCACATGCAGACTCAGCCAGAAGAAATCCTTTTGATCATGTATCTGATAGGTGAAATATTGCCTCAGCATAGGTTCATTTTGCACTTCTCTCTCTCTCTCTTTTTTTTTTTTTAGATGGAGTCTTGCTCTGTCCCCCAGGCTGGAGTGCAGTGGCATGATCTCTGCTTACTGCAAGCTCTGCCTCCTGGGTTCACACCATTCTCCTGCCTCAGCCTCCTGAGTAGCTGGGACTACAGGTGTCCGCCACCACGCCCAGCTAATTTTTTGTATTTTTAGCAGAGACGGGGTTTCACCTTGTTAGCCAGAATGGTCTTGATCTCCTGACCTCGTGATTCGGCCATCTCGGCCTCCCAAAGTGCTGGGATTACAGGCGTGAGCCACTGAGCCCGGCCTCATTTTGCACTTGTCCATGAGCCTTTTTTATATGCAGCTTTGAAGAAACACTTTATTTTCTCTTCCATTTATTGTCTACTCATACATGAATTTCCCACCCCCCCCACTAGGTTGTTTGCCTTTTCTCATTGATTTGTAGGAGCTCTTTACATATTGGGGGAGTTAATTCTTTGTCATATTAGCTACAATATTTTTTCTCCCTTTGTCTCTCATGTTTTGACTTTGCCTATAATTTTTTCATGTGTAAAATTTCTTTTTCTATATTTAATCTCATATTTACTTTTGGTTCTGAATTTTCTGTTCGAACTAAAAAGAACTTCCCAACTCTAAAATTAAGAGAAACATTTTAAAACATAATTCCTTCTAACATTAATGTATTACACATATATATATATGTGTGTGTGTGTGTGTGTGTGTGTGTATATATATATATATATTTTTTTTTTTTTTTGTAGAGACAAGGTCTCACTATGTTGGCCAGGCTGATCTTGAACTCCTGGCCTCAAGCAATCCTCCTGCCTTGGCCCCACAAGTGCCGGGATTATAGGTGTGAGCCACCATGCCTGGCCATTTATTGCATTAAACAAAAAACACATCTAAGTCTTTGATCTATTTGGAATTTACCTAGATATAAGGTATAGTAAGGATAAAACTTTATTACTTTTTGTCTACATGACTATTAATTGTCTCAATACCATTTATTGAATAATGCATTATTTCTCTCAGTGGGAATTAGTTGAAAACCTACTATGTGCTGATCATCATTATAATCCTATTTCATGAGGGTTTACTATATGCCAGGCATGGTGCTAAGCACTTTACATTTACTTCTCAACACGCCAGTGAAGTGTCCACCAAAATGATCTCCAATATACAGAGGCATGGAGAGGGGAGGTGACTTCCTCCTTCTAGAAGGTGCAGAAATTGGAGTCCAACCCAGGTTGTATCTGCCTCCAAAATCTGTGCTCTTAATCGGCCCACTGAGCTGTACCCAGTGTACCTCAAACATCCTCCAGGAATGGTGGCTCATGCCTGTAATCCCAGCACTTAGGGAGGCCGAGCCGGGTAGGTCACGAGGTCAGGAGTTTGACACCACCCTGGCTAACATGGTGAAACCCCATCTCTACTAAAAATACAAAAAATTAGCTGGGCATGGTGGCAGGTGCCTGCAGTCCCAGCTACTTGAGAGGCTGAGGCAGGAGAATGGTGTGAACCTGGGAGGCGGAGCTTGCAGTGAGCCGAGATCATGCTACTGTACTCCAGCCTGGGTGACAGAGCGAGACTCTGTCTCAAAGACAAACAAACAAACAAACAAACAAACATCCTCTCAGGGGAGTGAAATTATATGAGTGAAGTATGAGGCCTGGCTTCCAGGAACTTGTGGACTTGGATAGGAAAACAGAACACATTTCCACAGAACAGGGAGCAAGAAAAGAAGGAATGTGTCCATGTGTCTGCATGCATGTGGGTGTTTTTTATTTATTTAAGCGGGACAGAAATGTGGAGGCAACAGTGGAGATAGAGAGATGTGAGATGGGACTTCTACTTTCAGCAGCTGGAGGGACTCAGTCCTTGAAAGTGCTTTCCTGCTACACAACAGTGAGATCCTGGATTAAACAGGATTCCTAATACATCGTTGGACTTGCGGTAAATTTTTTTTTTTTTTTTTTTTTTTTTGAGACAGAGTCTTGCTCTGTCACCCAGGCTGGAGTACAGTGGCATGATCGTGGATCACTGCAACCTCTGCCTTCCAGGTTCAAGCGATTCTCCTGCCTCAGCTTCCGGAGTGCACCACCACACCTGGCTAATTTTTTTTGTATTTTCATAGAGACAGTGTTTTGCCGTATTGGCCAGGCTGGTCTCAAACTCCTGACGTCAGGTGATCAGCTCGCCTCGGCTTCCCAAAGTTCTTGGATTACAGGTGTGAGCCACCATGCCAGGCCAAACTTCTTTACAGGACGGGAAATCCCTCAGTATTTTTTCCATCTCAAATCATGAAGCTGGGTAGAATGGCTCACGTGTGTAATCCCAGCACTTTGGGAGGCCGAGGCTGGCGGATCGCTTGAGGTCAGGAGTTCGAGACCAGCCTGGCCAACATGGTGAAAACCCTGTCTACTGAAAATACAAAAATTAGACGGGCATGGTGGCAGGTGCCTGTAATCCTTGCTACTCGAGAGGCTGAGACACAAGAATCGCTTGAACCTGGGAGGCGGAGTTTGCAGTGAGCTGAGATCGTGCCATTGCACTCCAGCCTGGGTGACAGAGTGAGACTCCATCTCAGATGAAAACAAAAACAAAAACAAAAACCATTAGCTAAAACCTAACAGGGAATGGTAAAGAAAAAGCAAGGAAACCATGAAGGATTTCCCTGAAAGCAAAGGTCAATATCAATTCTACAGTCAACAAAGAGACTAAAACTTGGACTAGGGGCAAGGTGGATGTTACTCAACATAAGAATTCTCCCTTAGGCTGAGACCCTCAAGGGGTCCCAGAATAACCAACTCCTGCTCCTCTCTAGGGATAAGCATGTTCCTTAGGTTTCCCAGAGTAAGTTCAAACAAACACGACTTCACAATCAAAGATCAGCAAACACACAAGGAAATGAGACACCATGGGCAATAGTCAGCAGAAACAATAATCATCTGATTTAGACCCACAAAGACTTTAGATTCTGTAATCATAATATGCAGGATTTTTTTAAAGAATCAGATTTAAAGAAATAAAAGATGTAATCACAAGAAAGGTTGGCAACAACAGCAATAAATTACAAGTAATTACGCAGGCAGATTTTAAAAAAGAACCAAATAAAACTTTTAGAGGTAAGTGTAATTGTTGAAATAAAAAATGGAGTGGTTGAGTGAAACATCAGATTATTCATAGTTAAAGGGAGATTTAGTGAACTGGAAGAAAGGTCTAGAGAAATTATTCAGAATTTGTTTCAGAGGAAAAGGAGAAAAAAATAAAATAGAAGTTCAGAGACATGGAAAATAACTGTGGAGGTTTAACATTTATTTAATTGGAGTTCGAGAAGGATAGAATTTTAAAAATCAGACACAGGCAAAAATTTTAACAAAAAGTGGGAAGAGGAAATAATTTTAAAAAATCAATCATCTAGAATTTTGCAGAACTAAAGGAAGGATATGATTCCATAAATAGAGGAAGCACAATCTCTACTAAGCAGGATTAAAAAAAATCTGTATCTAGACACATTGCGATGAAACTGCAGTGCATCAAAGACATAGTCCTTAGTATTACAATAGATAGAAAAAGCTGGGCACGGTGGCTCCTGCCTGTAGTCCCAGAACTTTGGGAGGCCAAGGCAGGCAGACGGCTTGAGTTTAAGAGTTTGAGACCAGCCTGAACAACATGGCAAAACCTCACCTCTACAAAACACAAAAAAAATTAGCTAGCTCTGGTGGTATACATCTGTAGTCCAAGTTACTGGGGAGGCTGAGGCAGGAGGATCACTTAAGCCTGGGAGGCTGAGGCTGTAGTGAGCTGAGATTGTACCACGGCACTCCAGCCTGGTGATGGAAAGCTAGAAGTCAGTGAAACAATATCTTCAAAGTGTTGAGAGAAATACAGAGAGGGAGAAATGCCCAAGATTTTTTTGTGGGGAGAGTATGCTGGGATTACATGATGAAGTTCTTTCTATACCAGGGTGAAGTGTGTGATGGCATATGGCTACGAGCATTGGCCCTAGAACTAACTATACTGCCTGCATTCAAATTCTAGCTCTGCCATTTACTAGCTGTGAGACCATGGACAAAACTCTTCCTCCTTGTGCTTCATTTTCCTCATCTGAAAATGGGGATAATTACAGCACCTATATTAGAAGCCAGGATCTTAACACATTTTTAATTTTAATTGAGGCAGGGCATAGTGGCTCATGCCTGTAATTCCAGCACTTTGGGAGGCCAAGGTGGGTGGATCGCTTGATCTTAGGAGTTTGAGACCAGCCTGGGCAACATAGTGAAACCCCATCTTTAAAAAAACAACACAAAAATTATCCAGGCATGGTGGTGCACTCCTGAAGTCCCAGTTGGTCGGGAGGGTGAGGCAGGAGAATCGCTTCAGCCCAGGAGGCAGAGGTTGCAGTGAGCCAAGATCGTGCCACTGCACTCCAGCCTGGGCAACAGAACCAGACCCTGTCTCAAATAATAATAATAATAATAATAATAATAATGAAAATAATGTTAATTGAATTTTTAAGTTAACACAATGCCCAGTATATGGTAGGCACTTCATAAACATTAGTGCCTGTGCCTTCCAGGGATTGACAGCTGGATTAACTTGAGCCGAGTGGACCCAGATGCAGAAGTGCAGGGTGAGATCTGCCTGTCAGTGCAGATGCTGGAGGATGGGCGGGGCCGCTGCCTTCGATGCCATGTGCTTCAGGCCAGGTATGCTCAAGGTGGAGGTGGTGTGGAGGGTGGTCTGAGAATGAGCAGGAGTCCCTTGGGTCTCTCCTGCTGCCTGGCGTTTGGGGCCTCCTCACTCCTAGCGCACTTCTGGGCTGACAGTCAGGTTCCCTGTGTGGACAAACAGTCCAAGCTCACTGGGTTTTAAGTTCCTGGGGGCAAAATCCTGTTGAGCAACAGACCAGACACTCAGGATGACAGGTGACAGGTGAGTGTGGAGGTGTAGTCATTAAATTGTAACTGACAAATACCCAATTCATACTGGCTTAAGCAAAAGAGCTACGTTATTGGCTTATATGACTGACATGTAGCTTCAGGCATGGCTGGGTCCAGGTGTTCAAATGATGCCGTTAGGAATCTGTCTTTTAGCTGTGCTGGTCTCTGAGTTAGCTTCATTCTTAGGCAACCTCTCCTCAGGTGAGAGGTGGCCCTAGCAGCTCCAGTCTGGTACCCTGCCAGCTTAGCCACTCCAACAGAAAAAAACTTCTATTTCCTACCATTTCCAACCAGTGTCCTGGGATGAAGTTTTACTGGCTCAGGCTGGGGCGCATGCTGTCTCTGAACCAATTGCATTGAATAATGAGTCAGGCCTGAGTGACAAGCCCATTACTGGAGTGGAGGGAGGAATTGGCCCCCACTAAGTCACGTGAGAGGGGGTAATGAGAAGGAGATAGGTCCTGTCCCAAAGAAAAGTCAGACGCAAGATGGACGCAAGACCAGGAAAACCCACAGGTGGCCCTCTAGTTGCACCAGCTCATGGGACACCCATCTTCCCTCTTGCCTATTTGTCATGGCCATCTCCTTCTCCCTTCCTCAGCGCTCTGTCATTTTGCTCCCTCAAATATCTCCACCCTTCCTCCACTCCTCTCTCATCCTGTTTTTCTGCCTTTTTTTTTTTTCACCTTCCCAGCTCTCACTTTTAGGCAAATCCCTGCCCAGATCGGAGAGGACCTCCAATTTCTAGCTTGCTGTGTGACCATAAAGCCGTTCCTTGCCCTCTCTGAGCCTCCCCCACCACCTCCAGATTTTTGCTTCCGGCTTTGGCCCCAGCTGGGGCTCCCTAGAGTCTCACTGAGGGAGAACCAGGGAGGCAGGTGACAGGCTGAGGGACTCAGCAGTGGGCAGAGGCTCACTTGTGCCCATGGCCCCTTCCCCAGCCACAAGGCTGTGCAGGATCCTTGCAGGCATGAGAGGGACTGATTGCTGTCGCTTAGCAACCGGGCCAGCTCCTAGGAAACCGAAGAAGGCTTTGGATGCTGAGCAGGGGTGGGAAGGGATCAGGAGGAAGAAGGAAGCAGCCCCTGGTGTGGGGGTGGGGTGGTGGTGTGTTCCTGGGTTTGGGGAACGTCAAGAAGGAGGGATGGAGAAGCTGCCTGGAGTAAGACTTTTGGGTTGTCATGGCAACCAACGGCAAGGAGTCCCTGCCTTCTCTTGGGTCCTAGACAAGGTGTGGGCATGGGTGTTTGTTGAATGAATAAATGAACCGATCATCTACCACCTGCCAGGTACTATGCTAGGCCCTTTACACACATCACCCCATCTAACTCTTGGCTCTATGAGGTTGGTCTGTTATTACTCCCATTTTCCAGGTGAGGAAATGAAGACTTAGAGAGGGGAAGTGACTTTCCCTAGTGTCCCCTAGCCAATGAGCACAGAGCCAGGCTTTGAACCTTTGCATCAACTTTCCCATCTGGGGCCTCCAGAGAATCTGAGGCTCTCTCTTCCCCTTCCCCGCTGCACTTCTACTTGCTGGGTTTTGTGATGTAGGATATGACCTTTTGGTGCCTCAGTTTCCTCATCTGAAAAATAGGGACATACAAGTGCCTCCTCATAGGGCAGTGACAGGAAGATACGGGGTCTGGACGGGCATGGTTAGGGGTGTCCCCAGCTGGACCGACCCCTACAATGGAACAGTTAATTTCCTTGGAAACCAGCGACATTGGAATGATATACTCTTAACGGCCTTTCCAAGGCCCAACTCAGATGCCGTGTTCCCTCACTCCTTTCCCCATCTGTTCCCAGGGACCTGGCTCCCAGAGATATCTCTGGCACATCTGACCCATTTGCACGTGTGTTTTGGGGCAGCCAGAGCTTGGAGACCTCAGTGAGTGATGGGGAATGACACCAGGAAGGAGTGGGACATTTGGTGGTGGGGCAGGGGTCCCCATCAGCTCTCCCACTCACAGACCACTTCCCTCGCCCACAGACCATCAAGAAGACTCGCTTCCCACACTGGGATGAAGTGCTGGAGCTGCGGGAGATGCCAGGTGCCCCGTCCCCACTGCGGGTGGAGCTCTGGGACTGGGACATGGTGGGCAAGAATGACTTCTTGGGCATGGTGAGCCTCACTCCCTGCAACACCCTCCATGGCTCCCCAGTGCCTCCAAGGGGGAAGGAAGATGAGATGGGCTGAGCCTCCTGGCTCTCAGAAGGGTGGATGTACAGTTGCCTCATCAGGTTCCCCTGGTTAGGCAGGAGTGATGCAGTTACATTGCTCTGTTTTACAGGTGAGGAAACCTAGGCTGTCAAAGGTATAGGAACCTACCCAAGATCACAGGGTGGGCCCAGATTCTTATTCTGGGATGAGAGCATGACAGATGACTGTGTGCTGGCCCTGTGCGGAGTGTCCCTCCCACAGAGCCTCATTACTTAACTTTCATGGCCACCCTATGAGGCTGGGACTGTTGCTATCCCCATTTTACAGATGGGGACATTGAGGCTCAGAGAGGCTAAGTGGCCTTTTCAAGGTCATATGGCTAAGGGCAGAGCAAAGATTTGAGTTCAGATCTTTTTGACTCCAGACCTACGCCCTTAACTCCTACTCCTAGAAGTCCTGGGCTCAGTTTCTTTCTCTTGGTTTCCCAGTCTTTGCAAACAGCCTGGCAGCTCCTCAAATAGTTAAAGATAGAGTTACTCTATGACCTAGCAATTCTACTCTTAGGTACGTACCCCAAAGAAATGAAAACTTATGTTCACTAACATTACTGTTCATAGCAGTATTAGTCATAACAGCCCAAAATGGAAAAAACTCAAGTGTCCACTATAGATGAACAAAATGTGGTCTATCGATATAATGGAATATTATTCAGTCATAGAAAGGAATGAAGTACAGTAAGTCCTCATTTGATGTCATTCATAGGTTTTTTGTTTTGTTTTGTTTTTTGTTTTTTGAGACGGAGTCTCACTCTATTGCCCAGGCTGGAGTGCAGTGGCATGGTCTCGGCTCACTGCAACCTCCGCCTCCCAGGTTCATGCCGTTCTCCTGCCTCAGCCTCCCAAGTAGCTGGGACTATAGGTGCCCGCCACCATGCCTGGCTAATTTTTTGTATTTTTAGTAGAGACGAGGTTTCACCGTATTAGCCAGGATGGTCTCGATCTCCTGACCTCGTGATCCGCCCACCTCGGCCTCCCAAAGTGCTGGGATTACAGGCGTGAGCCACCATGCCTGGTCCATAGGTTCTTGGAAACTACAGCCGTAAGCAAAATGACATACTGTATGTTGTAGGAACTTAACTCTTATTTATTTATTTATTTATTTATTTATTTAGGAGGAATCTTCCTCTATTGCCCAGGCTGGAGTGCAGTGGCATGAACTCAGCTCACTGCAACCTCCACCTCCTGGGTCCAAGCAACTATTTTGCCTCAGCCTCCCAAGTAGCTGGGATTACAGGTGCACACCACCACATCTGAGTAATTTTTGTATTTTTAATGGAGACGGGGTTTTCCCATGTTGGTCAGGCTGGTCTTGAACTCCTGACCTTAAGTGATCTGCCTACCTCATCCTCCCAAAGTGCTGGGATTACAGGCATGAGCCACCCACCCAGCCTTAATTCTTGTTTATAGTAATTAGCTCATGGTACATTTGATTTCCTTATATGTTATGAGTCAGGACTTACTGTACTGACACATGGATGAACCCTTACACTAAGTGGAAAAAGCCAGCCCCTGCAAAACACATATAATTCCATTTATATGAAATATCTAGAATAGGCAAATCTACAGACACAGAAAGTAGATTAGTGGTTGCCAGGGGCTGGGGGGCACGAAGTGACTGGTAATGAGTACGGGCTCTTTAGGGCTCATAGACAATGTTCTGGAATCAGCAGCACAACTAATTGCGGTAACTCTGTGAATATACTAAAAATCATTGAATTGTACACTTTTAAAAGGTGAATTGTTTGGGATGTGAATTACATCTCTATAAAGTTATTTAAAAAGAGAGAGAGGGTGGGGTTTGAGTGCCTCCAGGGCTGTCCTTATGCCTTTTGATAGATGAAATTTATGTGCCTAAACAGAGCTGAAAATACACTCAGTCCAGACATGCTATCTCTAGCAGCCGTGTGACCTTGGGCAAATCACTCCATGTCTCTGAGCCTCAGTTTCCTCAACTGTAAATTAAGTGTCCCTGGGAGGCCCTCGGAAGCCCTCAGTGTCCTGGCAGGACCTAATAATTTGGGACTTGTAGGAGAGAAGGAGGGGGCCCCTGGCAGGCCATTCTGCCCCTCTGTGGGTGGGCAGTCTGTTCTTCCAGGGCTAGGTGAGACCTGAGCCCGGCAGGGCAGGCCATGACCTGGCTGAGGGTCTGTGTGTCTCTCCCAAAAGGTGGAGTTCTCTCCGAAGACCCTCCAACAGAAGCCACCCAACGGCTGGTTCCGCCTCCTGCCCTTTCCCAGAGCCGAGGAGGATTCTGGGTAATTGTGGGTGCAGAGGGAGGCGGCCAGGCTGGAGCCATGTCGGGCAGCATCCATAGCTTGTGGGCAGAGCCCATGCCAGCCTATGCATTATCGCTGTGCCACTTCATTCATGCATTCATCCATTTAACAACCGTCTATGGAATATCTCTCAAGGTGTTTACGTAAGTCCACAGGAGTTCACTTTACACCCATTCACCTGTCCATGTGCAAACACGTTGGCTCGCACTTGATATATATTCAGAACTTTGGGTCCTTCCACACCTGTCCATACTGTTCATTCTTGAACACACTTATTTATACCATCTCCACTTGCCTGTCCTGTCTATACCCATCAATATCAGTTCACACCTGTTTATACTGGCCTCACCTATTCACACCTGTCCACGCTTGTTCACACTGTTGACACTCATCTTCACTTGTCCACACATCCTTTACATATTTGTGCACACCGGCCGCATCTATCCACTCTGGCCACACCTGTTTACGTTGTTTGTATACATTCCTATTTATGCCTGTTGACACCTGCCTACCCCTGTTCACACCTGTCCACACTTGTCTATACCTGCCTACACCTGTCTTGTTTTGCAAACTCCCGCCCTCCTCCCATATGTTCCCATTGGCCTCTCTCGGCTCTCCACACCTGCCCATGCGCTCTCCCATAAGAGCATCTTTCATTTTCTTTTCTTTCTTTCTTTTTAATTTGTTTAGACAGAGTATCGCTCTGTCATGCAGGCTGGTGGAGTGCAGCGGCACGATGTCAACCTCTGCCTGCCAGGTTCAAGTGATTCTCCTGCCTCAGCCTCCTGAGTAGCTGGGACTACAGGCGTGTGTCACCACCCCCGGCTAATTTTTGTATTTTTAGTAGAGATGCAGTTTCACCATGTTGTAGAGGCTGGTCACAAACTCCTGACCTCAAGTGATCTGCCCACCTCAGCCTCCCAAAATGTTGGGATTACAGGCGTGAGCCATCACGTTCGGCCAGACCTTTCATTTTCTTATGATCTGATCCTGGACAGGAGAAACCTGGGCGCCCTGCGAGTGAAGGTACGCCTGATCGAGGACCGCGTCCTGCCCTCCCAGTGCTACCAGCCTCTCGTGGAGCTGCTCATGGAGTCTGTGCTGGGGCCAGCAGAGGTGGGTGCGTAGCAATGCAGTGCTACCAGGGGAGTGCCAGGGGTCTGGATCCTGGCCTCCCCCTGCCTCACGGAGCCCTATCTAGGCTCATCTGCTTTGGGGTCCCAGGGGCCGAGGTCACCTTTGTCTCCCGCCCCCATCCAGGAGGACACTGCTAGCCCCCTGGCCTTGCTGGAAGAGCTGACCTTGGGGGACTGCCGCCAGGACCTTGCCACCAAGCTGGTGAAACTCTTTCTTGGCCGGGGACTGGCTGGACCCTTTCTGGACTATCTTACCCGGCGTGAGGTGGCTCGGACCAGTGAGTTGCCTGCACAACCCCTGACATCACCGCCCTCAATGGTGGGCTTGCAGGAGGGTCCCTGGGGAGAAAAGGGGAGGCATCAGGCAGAGGGAAAGGGCTCCTTTTTCTGTAGGTCCCTGTGCTGTGCACCCCAGACAGTTGGGAGCCCAGTTGCGGCTCAGGCCCTGGTTTTGCTACTTGTGAGCTGTGTGACCTCAGGCAGTTCACTTAACCACTCTGGGCCTCTGTACTGTGAATGGGATTGATGTTTTGGGTCTTCCTGATTCTTGGGGCTGGAAGAATCATGACCCCCACCTTGGGTGAGTGGGGTGAGCTAGGTCTAGCTCCCTAAATCCCAGCAAACACTTCCTCTGTCCTCCCAGTGGACCCCAACACCCTCTTCCGTTCTAACTCCCTGGCATCCAAGTCGATGGAACAGTTTATGAAGGTGAGTAGGTGAAGGCCTGGGGGACCGGGCACAGCTTCCTCGGGAACCTCCTTCCCAGTGCCTACCTGGCTCCCTCACTTGGCTGGCTTCAGAGGCTGAGCAGCTGAGCTGCAGTGCTGGTGGCTGGTGCCCGGCCTCACCCTGAGTTGCACCCGGGTGTGTCCCCCACCCCAGCCCTGGCCTCTCTCTGAACCTCTTCCTGCATGGTCCCCCCTGCACCCAGCTTATGGGCATGCCCTGGCCTCGCCCTCAGCCCCACCCTGTGTGGTGCCCCCTGCCCCCAGCTCGTGGGCATGCCCTACCTGCACGAGGTCCTGAAGCCCATGATTAGCCGCGTCTTTGAGGAGAAGAAGTACATGGAGCTGGATCCCTGCAAGATGGACCTGGGCCGCACCCGGTGAGCAAAGCCCGAGGACTCTGACCCTCCGACGGCCCCCTTTGGCCACCTGGAGCCTTGTCTGGGGACTGGGTTCATGCTGACTGCCACTCACCCTGGGGCTACGACTGCTCAGGAGCTCGGTGGCTGAGCTCAAAGCCTTACACACACGTCCTTAGGTCTTCAGGCTGTGTAGTATAGGGGTTATGGCCAGGACTCTGATGCTAAGCTCCCTAGGTTCAAATGTTAGCTCTGCCACTATTGATGGACAAAGTTGCCAAAACTTCTGTTCCTTAGTGGTTAAGTTGTTTTCTTGTTTTTTTGTTTTTTTTTTTGTTTTTTTTTTTTTTCAAGACAGGGTTTTACTCTGTCACCCAGGCTGGGGTGCAGTGGTATGACCATGACTCACTGCAATGTCACCTTCCCGGGCTCAGGTAATTCTTCCACCTCAGCCTCTGGAGTAGCTGGGACTATAGGCACACACCACCACCGCCAGCTAAGTTTTTGCATTTTTAGCAGAGACAGGGTTTTGCCACATTGCCCAGGCTGGTCTCAAACTCCTGGGCTCAAGCAATCCTCCTGCCTTGGTCTCCCGAAGTGCTGGGATTACAGGCGTGAACCACCGCGCCTGGCAAAATCAGATTTTTTTAAGATTAAAAAACCCAAAATATTGATCTTATGTTCTTCTACTTAATGCACACACTACTTCTAAAATGTCCCTTATTCAGCTGGTGAGAATATTGTCACCTGAGAGGTGGAGCTCATGACCTCTACTCCGTTAACTGAGTCATGCCTGTGCTCCACAAGCATTAGTGATCTTTATTACTGTGGTGCTGGGGGTCCCCGACATTGGTGATCTTTACTGCTGTGCTGCTGGGGGTCCCCAACATTACTGATCTTTACTGCTGTGCTGCTGGGGGTCCCCGACATTAGTGATCTTTACTACTGTGCTGCTGGGGGTCCCCGACATTAGTGATCTTTACTGCTGTGCTGCTGGGGGTCCCCAACATTAGTGATCTTTATTAGTGTGGTGTTGGCGGTCCCTGAGTGGGCCTGCCTGCAAGGGAGATCGTGGGTGCTCAATGAGATTGGGAGGAAGCAGAGCAGTGGCTAGGGGGTCATTCCACCCCTCCGTGGGCTCCTCCTCCTTTCTCTCCAGAACCTTCTCATGTCTAGCCCACAAGCCTGGGGCTGTGGAAAATGGTTGCTGGGATATCCATTGGGGACCGTGGCAGAGACAGGAGAGGATCTTTCCTTGTGCCGTCCACACCTTCTGACTGACTACCTTAGAGGCAGGCATCACGACCCCTCTTACTGATGATGCAACTGAGCCTCAGAGAGGGAAGGTCACTTGCCTAAGGTCACACAGCCAGGAAGTTACAAAGCAGGGATTTGATCCCAGGCCCTGAGCAGAAGGGCACAGTCCACCTGTGAGACTCCAAGTTGAGGGCATTTCCTAGCACACTTGATAATGATGGAAGAAACTCAGTGGGCACCCATGGGAACAGGGGTATCTGGGGACCTGGGCAGGGCAGGGTGGCAGGCAGGCTGTGGACTTAACAGTCCTGAGTTCGATTCTCAGCTGTACCATCTCCCCAGTAACCTCTCTGAGCTTCAGTTTTCTCGTCTGTTAAATGGCAACAAGTAAGGCTACTTACCCCATCAAGTTACTGTTAGGATTAAAAGAGACCATGCCAGAGACGAGTCCAGGGCTCAGCACGTTAGGTCCAGGACACAGTGGAGCTGAGAACCCCCAGCTCTCAGTCTGGGTGTGGGCAAGACAGACCCTCAATCTGTAGAGAAAGAAAGGAACACAATAATTGCAGATGGAAAAATGCTGTTCTATCATCCACAAAACAAAACAGCGATTGAGTGCCAGGCTCTGGGCTGAACACTGAGGATACAGTGGGGAACAAACAGTCCCAAGTCCCTATTCTGGGGGGAGACAGATAATGAGCAACTGGAAGAAGAAGGTGGGTTTGTTTGTTTGTTTGTTTATTTATTTATTTAGTTATTGAGATGGAGTCTTGCTCTGTCACCCAGGCTGGAGTGCTGTGGCATGATCTCAAATCACTGCAACCTCTACTTCCAAGGTTGAAGCGATTCTCCCACCTCAGCCTCCCGGGTAGCTGAGATTATAGGCGTGCACCACCACACTGGGCTAATTTTTGTATTTTTGGGGGGAGATGGAGTTTCACCATGTTGGCCAGGCTGGTCTTGAACTCCTGGTCTCAAGTGACCTGCCTCCTTGGCCTCCCAGAGTGCTGGGATTACAGGCATGAACCACTGTGCCTGGTCGGAAAAAGGTTATTGAATGGGACCAGGGAATGGAAAAAACAAGGGAGGGGAGAGGCCTGCAATATTCCAGAGAGTGAGGACAGGGGCAGCCTCACAGGGGAGGGGACATCTAAGCAAAGACTTGCAGGCGGTGAGGAAGGGAGTCTTGCGGAGATTTAACATTTAACGGGAGAGTGTTCTAGGGGGAGGGAGATGAGCCAGTGCAAAGGCTGCAAGATGGGAATGAGCTCATCGTGTTTAAGCAACAGCAAGAAGCCCAGTGGGAAGGGGCAGGAAGGAGGCTGTGGAGGTGGGGGGAAGATGGGTCCCCTCTGAGCTCAGCGGGGCTGGTGGAGGGTTTGGGGCAGGCAGATGCTGTGTCCCGAGTCTGAGCTGCTCCGCCGGCCCCTCCAGGAGGATCTCCTTCAAAGGTGCGCCCTCGGAGGAGCAGATGCGGGAGACCAGCCTGGGGCTGCTGACGGGCTACCTGGGGCCCATCGTGGACGCCATCGTGGGCTCCGTGGGGCGCTGCCCGCCCGCCATGCGCCTCGCCTTCAAGCAGCTGCACCGGCGAGTGAAGGAACGCTTCCCCGAGCCAGAGCACCAGGTGCGCCGGGATGGGAGGCACAGCCTGGGGACGGGCTGGAGCTTGTCCAGGGTCACTCGGAGGAGTCAGGACAGAGCTGGGACGAGAACCCAGGCTGCCTGGGGACAGCGTTCCTGGCAGGGTCCGGCTCCCAAGAATGATAATAATAATAAAAATTGCCCAGGTGCGGTGGCTCACGCCTGTAATCCCAGCACTTTGGGAGGCTGAGGAGGGTGGATCACTTGAAGTCAGGAATTTGAGACCAGCCTGGCCAACATGGTGAAACCCTGTCTCTACTAAAAATATAAAAATTAGCCGGGCATGGTGGCTCACACCTGTAATCCTAGCTACTCCGGAGGCTGAGTCAGGAGAATCGCTTGAAGCCAGGAGACAGAGGTTGCAGTGAGCGGAGATTGCACCATTATACTCCAGACTGGATGATAGAGATAGATTCTGTCTCAAAATAAATAAATAAATAAAACAAATAATAATAAATACAATAATGGCAGCTAACACTCTATAGCCCGGTAGCCTGACCATGGGCCAGATCTTGTTTTAGGTGATTTATGTATTTATTACCCTATTTAATCAACACATGCAGACTGTGAGGTGGATACCAGGATTATTCCCATTTCACAGAGGAGGAAACTGAGGCCCAGAGAGCTTAAGTCAGACAGGTAGAAAGGGGTGATATTGGGACTGGCACTCACCCAGGCAGGTTGGCTCCTGAGTCTGTGCTCATAACCAGCAAATAATAGAGTCTGGCACCAAGTAAGTGCTTCTTAAAATTCCAGATGTAAGACAGAGAGAGGAAGTAAGAGAGAAGAATGCAGATCTGGCATACAGTAAGTGCTCAGAAACACCCAGAATAAAGTCTAAAAATAAATCCCTGCAGGTGTAGGGCTATACCAACATGGATAGAAGAGTTGAAAACTCAGATGCTGTGAGTTTCAGGCAGGTGAGACACAAGAACAAAGTAGGTAGCGCGTGGAGTGGTCGGGAGTCATATAGACTGTGACCAACTGGAGCCCCCAGAACTTGTCTAAAGGGGGCAGCTCCAGGGAATCACTGTTGTATAGAAATGGAAGCCCAATACTGCCAGATCTTTAGAGATTCTGGATTTTATGTGAGGTCTGTAATTTATGTATGTATGTATGTATGTATGTATGTATGTATGTATGTATTTCTTACTAACTTTTGAGACGGGGTCTTGCTCTGTTGCCCAGGCTGGAGTGCAGTGGCAGGATCATAGCTCACTGCGGCCTCTATCTCCCAGGCTTGAGTGATCTTCCCACCTCAGCCTCCTGAGTTGCTGGGACTAGAGGGGTGCACAACCACACCCAGCTAATTATTTGTTTTTGTAGAGACAGGATCTCACTGTGTTGCCCAGGAGGATCTCAAACTCCTGGCCTCAACCAATCCCCCTGCCTCAGCCTCCCAAAGTGCTGGGACTACAGGCATGAACCACTGTGCCCAGTCTGACCCCTTATTTTTAAAATATCAGCATGAATTTACCTGAAAACCAAACACACAAAAGAATTTTGGGTCAAGCATTATAAAACATGTGTGGTTGGACTGGCCAGTTTGCGACCACCTGCTTGAATGCTCAGCACACCTCCTGAGGTGGCTGTCATTGTCCTCACTTGCAGATAACATCGGCTGAGATGAACTCTTACGTAGTGCTGATGTATCAGACCCAGGGTTCACTTTGCAGAAAGATCTGAGACCTGTTACATGTTGGCAGTGTCGTAACCCGCTTCCTAGAACCTCATTTGAGAGCTTTTGGTTTATACCACATCTCTCTCCACTTACTGTTTACAGATGGGGAAACTGAGGAACAGAGAGGTAAAACACCTTGGCCAAGGGTTTTCTAGACTCCCAGCTGGGGTCTCTCCCCTCGCCCCAGTTGAGGAGTAAGCTCTGGGCCTTGACACTGAGATGTAGCTTGGCTTGCGCCTCTACCTTGCTGGGCTCTCACCTGGGCTGCCAGCAGAGGTGTTAAGTGGGGCACAGCTGTGGCAGGGAACAGGGAAGAAAGGGAGGAGGCCAGCTCCCCAGACAGCCTAGACCTTGTGTGGTGAGTCAATATCAGTGACACCCAAGTGTCCTCTAGTTCTCAGCCCCCAAGGTGGGCCTGAAGTAGGGACTTTCTCAGGCCCGGGGAACCCAGGGAAGCCCCTTTCTCTGCTGCACTGACACCGGTTCTTTACCCTCAAAAAGGAGGAAACAAATGAGCTGATGGGAAGACTAAAATGACCCTGGACTACAGATGGCGGTGGGGTGGTGGTGGCCTTGGGGGACAGTTCAGGGCTCCAGATGGAGGAGAATGTGCTCCCTCTGGGCAGTTCCAGGTAGCCAGCTCCTGCAGGGCTCACTGTCAAGGCCAAGATGCCCCAGGAAGGTGGCACATGCCCGGGGAGGGCATTGTTTCATGTGTGACTACAACCTCTAAATAAACACAGGCGCACACTCTCAGGCTAAATATAGCCAGGCAAGTGTGAGAGGTGGGTGGGGAGCCGGTCTGGGGGGAGCAAGATGTACCCAGGATGGAGGGGCACCCTTCCCTGAGTCACCTCTGCTGGTGCCTTACCTTTAGATGGGCCAGGCCCCAGATTCACATGGAGGGGAACCATACTCTACAGTTTGTAGAGGGTAGAGGTTGGAGGTGGGGAGGTGCACACAGGATGGACTCGGGAGCCCATCAGACTGGGTTCACTACTGAGCCTCAGTTTCCTCATCTGAAAAAATGGGATAATAGCACTTATCTACCCACACGGGGTTGAGGACTAAATGTGATAATTCAGGCTTGGTTTCTAATACTTGGTGAGGGCTCCTTGGTAGCTGGTGTTGAATGGCAAGAGAGTGTGGTGAAAAACAGAGAGTTCAAATCCTTGGCTGGACAAGATGGCTCACGCCTGTAATCCTAGGACTTTGGGAGGCTGAGGTGGGCGGATCACTTGAGGTTAGGAGATCAAGACCAGCCTGGCCAACATGGTAAAACCCCATCTCTACCAAACAAACAAACAAACAAAACCACAAAAAACAAAAACTGGCCAGGTGTGGTGGCATATGCCTTTAATTCCAGCTACTCAGGAGGCTGAGGCACAAGAATCACTTGAACCTGGGAGGCGGAGGTTGCAGTGAGCAGAGATCGTGCCACTGCACTCCAGCCTGAGCAACAGAGCAAGACTCTGCCTCAAAAAAAAAAAAAAAAAAAATTTCAAATCCTGCCTGAGTCCAACTCCTGCCTCTGCCACTTATAGCCGTGTAGCCTTAGGTGAGGGATCTTCCCTCTCTGGGCCTCAGTTGCCTCTGCTGTAACATGGAGATATAATCCTTCCTGGGGTCAGTATTAAATAAGCGAATGTATAGAGAGATATCTGTCCTGCTGCTGTTATTACCATAAATCACAGATCTGGGTTTGAATCCTGACTTTGTCACTCATTAGCTGTGTGACCCTGGGCAAATTGCTTGATATCTCTGAGCTTCTGCTTCCTCATCTGTAAAATGGGAATCATGATGGTGCCTCCCTCTTAGGGCTGTGCTCTTGGCATAGTGCTTGGCACAAAGCCAACTCTGAGGACATCTGGCCAAATCTAGTTTTGTAGGATTGGTTTTGTTACTTCATTTTTCAGGTGGGAAAACTGAGGCCCAGAGAGGAAAAACTTCCTCGGTCGGCCATTGTGGCTTCCTGGTCAATTCCCCATCCCACTTCTCTTTGCACCACGAATTTCTAGTCCTTGTTGCCTCAGTTTACCCAGCTGGGAAATGGGTTTGGGGTGCTCCTCTTACCTGCTGCTCCTCCTAGCAGGATGTGAAGTACCTGGCCATCAGCGGATTTCTCTTCTTGCGATTCTTCGCGCCCGCCATCCTTACCCCAAAGTTGTTTGACTTGCGGGACCAACACGCGGATCCCCAGACCAGCCGCTCACTGCTGTTGCTTGCCAAGGTGCCAGCCATGGGGTTCCCCCATCCTGGGTGCTCTTAGCCAGGGAAAAAAAGCATAGTAGGAGCAGAGCTGGGAGGCCAGACCCATAGAAGACCCAAAGAACACCCAAAGAAACCCAAGTCTGAAACACCACCATTAGCATTCCATCCCAACGGTGAAGGCAGTCATCATGCACTCCAATTTCCCCTTTGGAAATGAAAACCCAACCCTTACAGAAGGAAAGTGGAAAGCAGGCTAGCAGTCATTCACACCTTAGTATGAATTAGATCATCCTTTGCAAAGGGCAACAACTTGAGATTCTGCATGACAGTATGCAAGGTAGGATTGAGCAGTCCTGACTGGGGGAGGGTCTGGGCTTTGGAGGGAGCAGAATAAGGTCACTGAGGGGTGCAGATTCCAAAAAGAAGAAGGGGAAACAGATACCACCCAAGGAAGGTGTTGAGTCTTCTTATTGATTTATTTTTTTCTTTGAGACGAGTCTCACTGTGTCACCCAGGCTGGAGTACAGTGGCACGATCTTGGCTCACTGCAACCTCTGCCTCCTGGGCTCAAGTGATCCTCCCACCTCAGCTTCTGGAGTAGCTGAATTTACAAGTGTGAGCCACCGCAACTGGCTAATTTTTGCATGTTTAGTAGAGACAGGGTATCATCATGTTGGCCAGGCTGGTCTTGAACTCCAGACCTCAAGTGGTCCGCTTACTTCGGCTTCCCATAGTGCTGGGATTATAGGCGTGAACCACTGTGCCCGACAATAAGAGTCTTCTTCTATTGAGCACCGATTTGGGAGCCAGCAGTCCACAGAGGGCCCTCCTGTCTGCTGTGACCTTGGCCCTGGCATCCCTCGTTTCTTTGCTCCAGGCTGTGCAGAGCATCGGAAACCTGGGCCAGCAGCTGGGCCAGGGCAAGGAACTGTGGATGGCCCCCCTGCACCCCTTCCTGCTACAGAGCGTCTCACGTGTGAGAGACTTCCTGGACCGGCTGGTGGATGTGGATGGGGATGAAGGTGAGTTCCTGTGGTCCTGCCGTATCTGGCTTCTCAACCCAACTGGGACACCACTCAGGGACTTCCCCTTTTCCCCGCCAGCTCCTCAGCACTGAGAATGTGAATCTGTGGGTCAGTCAAGTCAACTAACATTTCCTGACACTGTGCTAGCCCCCAGAGACAAACAGAGCTCACGTGCTGTCCTCCAGGCCATCCTAGCCAATGTGGGAATGTGGCTGTGGGAGGGATTGTGGCATGGTGTGCATGCAGTTGGCAAACATCTATTAAGCGCTTACTAAATAATAGGCACAGTTCTAGGCGCTGGGGATGCAGCAGTGAACAAGACACAGAAAATCTGATCTCACAGAGGTTTTATTTTGTTGGGGAACACAGGCCATTAGCAAGATAAATAAGCAAGTTATGTGGTATGTTAGAGAGCTATAAGTGCTAAGGTGGAAAAATAGAGGAGGAAAGAACAGAGACCTGAAAGGGAACAGGTAGAGAGCCGTGAGAATCCCAGGGAAGAGTGCCAGGCAGGGCACAGCATGTGCAAGGGCCCTGAGGTGGGACAGAGAGCGCCACTGAGGACACCCGTGAAGAAGAGTGAAGCGGGGGCAGTGGGGAGGCAAAGAGGCAAGGCCAGAGAGGTTGGGGGCCAGATCATGTGGGGCCTCATAGGCCTTGGGAAGAATTTTAGCTTTGACTTGGAGTGAAACAGAATCACAGGATGATTTGTAGCAGAAAAGTTGTGGTTGAGTCCATACCATAATGTGGGGCTCAGATCATGACCTAGTTGGATCCCAGTCCCGTTGGAGCAACCTGTCAGAACGTAGAGCCTGGTTGTGGCATGGTGGGGTCCCTGTGGTGCTGGGGTGGGGTGGCGGGGCTGTGTCCTGGCTCCCTGAGCGTGGTTAGATGCAGGACATTGCCTGGGTGGGACCCCATAGGGTGTGGCTACCCCTGCTGGCTGCCTGCACAGTGTCTGCAGATTTCTCTGGTTGGAGAGAGGTCTTTAAGGGTTACTTTGCCCGCCCCCTCCTCCTGGCCTCCATGATTGCATTCCCTATTGAAGGAGTGGAGTCTAAAGTCATCGCGCTCATCCTCCCACCTCTAGGGGAGCAGAGAACCATGCCCATCCACTGAGGTCCTCCCTGGGCATGCTAGTGGAGTAAGGTAAGCCTGGATAGGGAGGGCTCGCTGTCCACCACCTCTCTTCTCCCATTTCCCAGAAGCTGGTGTCCCAGCCCGGGCCCTTTTCCCGCCCTCGGCCATTGTTCGAGAAGGCTATCTGCTGAAGCGCAAGGAGGAGCCTGCCGGCCTGGCCACGCGCTTTGCCTTCAAGAAGCGCTATGTCTGGCTCAGCGGGGAGACCCTCTCCTTCTCCAAGAGTCCTGAGTGGCAGGTGGGGTTCCCGTCCACAATGGAGGGCTTTCCAGGGGGTGGCCTTTTTCAGGATGCTGCCTCTTTGTACACAGGGGGAAACTGAGGCCCACAGTGGGGCAAGGCCCCAAGGTGCCATAACAACTTAACAATGACAAACTCTCAGGACAGGCTCTGCTCACAAGTTCAGGCCAATGTGGGCACAGGACACGGACAGGCACCATCACACATCCTTCAGAATGTGCACATGCGGTGGCAGGGATATGCCTCCCAGATGTGGAGGCACACAGGACAGGGACGATGCTGAACCGCTCTCCAATGCTCCCACCCGGATCTAGGGCACATGCTAGACAGACTCATAACACTGAATGTGTTCACTAGGAACGTGTGTAGATGTTCAGGCACATTCATCCAAGCATTCATTCACTCGTTCACTCATTCAGCAAACATTGAGCCTATTATGTGTCAGTGTCCTAAGCACTAGAGATACAGGAGTGAACAAGACAGGTGAAAATCTTGCCCTTGTGGGGCTGGCGTTTGTGACTAGAATGCCCCGAGACACGTGCTGGAGTCTCCTGAATGGGGAGCTGTGTGCACACCAGTAGATGACGACAGCTAATGCTGGGAAGGGAGTCCACACTTACTGTTTCTATTTTATCAGGAGAAAGGAGATTTCAGGGGTCAATTCTCTGGGTTCCAATTTTGGGTCCAACCAATGAGTGACCTTGGAAGGGTCATCTATCTTCTTGCACTTCAGTTTTCTCATCCGCAGGTTGGAGAGAATAACAGAACCAACTTCAGAAGTTTGTTGTGATAATTAAATAAGTTGATCAATGTATAGTCCCAAGCACCATAGAAGTGGTAGCTATTATTAACAAGGAAACGGATCCCCAGAGAAGTTGTCACTTAGACAGGTGGCTGGGCATGGTGGCTCACGCCTGTAATCCCAGCAATTTGGGAGGCTGAGGTGAGCAGATCACTTGAGGCCAGGGGTTCGAGACCAGCCTGGCCAACATGGTGAAACCCCATCTCTACTAAAAATACAAAAAAATTAGCCTGGCGTGGTGGTGCACACCTGTAATCCCAGCCACTTGGGAGGCTGAGGCAGGAGAATAGCTTGAATCCGGGAGGCAGAGGTAGGAGTGAGCCCAGATTGTGCCACTGCATTCCAGCCTGGGCGGCAGAGGGAGACTCTGTTTAAAAAAAAAAAAAAAAAAAAAAAGGATAGAGCAGGACTCACCCAACAGCTCACATGGATGGATGGACAAGCACACGGAGCACAGATTTACAGGGTTGAATGTCCTGCCTCTGGGAACCCACTCCACCTGCCGCACACAACCAGACGGAAGCTGTCTCCACCCCGGCCCTAGCCCCCAGCCCATCCTGTAGCAACAATCCTCTTCCCCAGACGCGCCACTCCATCCCCGTGTCGCACATCCGCGCCGTGGAGCGCGTAGACGAGGGCGCCTTCCAACTGCCCCACGTGATGCAGGTGGTGACGCAGGACGGCGCGGGGGCGCTGCACACCACCTACCTCCAGTGCAAGGTGAGACCCCGCCGCGATGGGGAGCGGGTGGGGGTGGGGCGTCCCTTGGTTCCCACCCGCCCCCTGATCGCCTCCCACCCGCTGCAGAATGTGAACGAGCTCAACCAGTGGCTCTCGGCCTTGCGCAAGGCCAGCGCCCCCAACCCGGACAAACTGGCCGCCTGCCACCCCGGTGCCTTCCGCAGCGCGCGCTGGACCTGCTGCCTCCAGGCTGAGCGCTCAGGTGAGGGGGCAGCGCGGACTGCAGGCTCTGCCGGCCCTACCCGTCAATCAGTGGGTGTCCCACTTCCACCTGGGCTGGCTGTGCAACCTTGGGCAAGTTACTCAACCTCTCTATGCCTCAGTCTCCTCAACTGTGAAATAAGGTTGATAACAGTGCCTTTCTCATGGAGTTGTGATAATTAAATGACTTGATTTACACAAAGAGCATAGGACGCTGCTTGGCGCATGCAAGGTGTTATTTCTACTCACTAGGTGCCAGCATCCAGTGGCGTCCAAACATCATGAGCTTGTTCTCAAGGAAGATGAGTGCATAACCCAAATTTTTCTTTTCTTTTTTTTTTTTTTTTGAGACGGAGTCTCACTCTGTTGCAAAGGCTGGAGGGCACAATCTCGGCTCACTGCAACCTCTGCCTCCCGGGTTCAAGTGATTCTCCTGCCTCAGCCTCCTGAGTAGCTGGGTTTATAGGTGCGTGCCACTGCACCTAGCTAATTTTGTATTTTTAGTAGGGACGGGGTTTCACCATGTTGGCCAGGCTGGTCTCAATCTCCTGATCTCAGGTGATAAGCCCACCTCAGCCTCCCAAAGTGTTGCGATTACAGGTGTGAGCCACCGTGCCCGGCCTTTTGTTAATACAATGTTATAAGTGCCAACATGAGGCTTTTGAGATTCCAGTGGATGCCTCTGACACAGCCTCAGGATGGGGACTCAAGGAGGGCTTCCTGGAGGAAGTGCTGCTTAAATGCGACCTGAGTAGAACAGAAGTTAAGCAGTGACGCTGGAGACAGAACTGGGAGCTGGGGCTAAGGAAGTGTTGCAGGTGTCATGAGCAAAGGCCTGGAGGTTGGGACAAGGTAGGCTGACGGTTGGAAAAAGGTCTTTGTGACTGGAGCCTAGAATGAGAGAGGAGTACTGGGAGAGGCAAGGCTACTGCAAGAGTCTAGGGAGCAGAAGTGGGGCTGGATGAGAGTGGAGGATGTAAGATTCAAAGGAAGTAGTGGGTTTTTTAATGTTTGTTTTTGAGATAGAACCTCTCTCTGTTCCCCAGGCTGGAGTGCAGTGGTGCAATCACGGCTCCCTGCAGCCTCAAACTCCTGGGTTCAAGCAGTCCTCTCACCTCAGCCTCCCAAGCAGCTGGGACCACAGACATGTGCCACCATGTGAGGCTAATTGTTTTTTTTTTTTTTTTTTTTTGAGACAGAGTCTCACCCTTTTGCCCAGGCTGGAATGTAGTGGTGCAATCTTAGCTCACTGCAATCTGTGCCTCCCAGGTTCAAGCGATTCTCCCAAGTAGCTGAGATTACAGGCATGAGCCACCATGCCTGGCTAATTTTTGTAGTTTTAGTAGAGACGGGGTTTCACCATGCTGGCCAGGCTGGTCTGAAACTCTTGACCTCTAGTGATCCACCCACCTTGGCCTCCCAAAGTGCTGAGATTACAGGCGTGAGCCACTGCTCCGGACCCAAGGGTAATTTTTAAATTATTTGTAGAGATGAGGTCTCACTATGTTGCCCAGGCTGGTCTCGAACTCTTGGGCTCAAGTGATCCTCCCATCTCAGCCTCCAAAAATGCTGAGATTACGGGCGTGAGCCACCCCGTGTGGCCTAGAAATAGTAGGTTTGACGAGAGATTTTAGATGAAGGAGCACGGCTTGGCGACAGCCTGGTTGTGGAGGCTTCTGGAAGGGAAGGGGGCATTGCTAATGAATGAAGCTGTGTCCCCTCAGCTGCCGGCTGCAGCCGTACACACTCAGCTGTCACCCTGGGGGACTGGAGTGACCCATTGGATCCCGATGCTGAGGCCCAGACGGTGTATCGGCAGCTGCTCCTGGGGCGGGACCAGCTCAGGTTGGTGCCCCCACCCATCCCACTTCACCTCCTATGACCAGCCGAGCCAGCCCCCCACCGTGACCTTGCTGTGTTCATTTATTCATTCTTTCCATGTGCATTGGTAGATCTTCCCTGGGGGCCTGGCCCAGGGTGGGGACTGGGTGTCTACACAGTCAGGGCTTGGGAAGCATCCTCGGTGGGAGGGGTCCCTCATACAGAACTGGGTCTTGGGATCTTTTAATACCTGGCGCTCCAGAGACCCTGGCACAATTCACATAAAATCCTGGCCCCCTGCACTTGCTAAATGACCTTGGATAGATCTCTTCCCCTTCCTGGCATGAGGATCGCTATCACTGTTATTCGGTGACAGAGATTTGTCCCAACTCATTATAGAGTGGGTTCTGAAGCTGACCTGCCTGGGTTCCAATCCTGACCTAGCCACTTACTAGCTGTGTGATCTTTAAAAAAAAAAAAAATTATACATTTATTTAGACAGAGTCTTGCTCTGTTGCCCAGGCTGGAGTACAGTGGCATGATCTTGGCTCACTGCAACCTCTGCCTCCCGGGTTCAAGCGATTCTCCTGCTTCAGCCTCCCATGTAGCCAGGATTACAGGCACCTGCCACCACGCCTGACTAGTTTTTGTATTTTTAGTAGAGATGGGGTTTCACCATGTTGGCCAGGCTAGTCTCGAATTCCTGACTTCAAGTGATCCACTTGTCTTGCCTTTGCCCTCCCAAAATGCAGGGATTACAGGCATGAGCCACTGCACCCAACCAGGCTGTGTGATCTTAAAAAAGTTGCTTAACTTCTCTGTACTTCAGTTTCCTCGTCTGGAAAAGGGGAATAATAATGGTGGTGACCTCGTGGGTTGTCCTGAGGATCAGATGAGCTAATACAGGTGGAGCACTTTGTAGGTGCCTGGCCACATAGTTAGCTTTCAATAAGTGGTAATGATGATGATACTGATGCGGTGTGACCTTAGACAAGTTACCTAACCTCTCTGTGTCTCAGTGATCATCTGTATAATGGAGCTAATACTAAATGCCTACCTCATATGAGTTTGTCATGACAATTAAATGAGTTAATACATGTAAAAGGTTTAGAATAGTATCTGACACTCTAGAAATGTTTGCTGTGTAGATGATGATGATGATGATGATGACGACGACGATGATGGTAGATGGTGATGGTGATGATTCACGAAAACTAATTTCTCAGAGAATTTCTGGGGTAGGAATCAGGATTGGGAATCAGGGACCAGACTTGTCTTTCTCCCTCTCACCTTCCAGGCTGAAATTACTGGAGGATTCTAATATGGATACAGCTCTGGAGGCAGACACAGGTAAGGGCTCCTGTACCACAGAAGGTAAAGGCTGGGCGCGGTGGCTCACACCTGTAATCCCAGCACTTTGGGAGGCCGAGGTGGGTGGATCACTTGAGGTCTGGAGTTCGAGATCAGCCTGGCCAACATGGTGAAACCCTGTCTCTACTAAAAATTTAAAAATTAGCCTGGTGTGGTGGTGCACACCTGTAATCCCAGCTACTGGGGTGACTGAGACGTGGGAATTGCTTGAACCCAGGAGGAGGAGCTGCAATGAGCTGAGATCATGCCACTGAACTCCACCCTGGGCAACACAGCAAGACTCTACCCCGCCCCACCTAAAAAACCCAGTAAGCTAAGGGGTTAAGGAGGTCCTTTTTTCCTCACAGGCGCTTCCCCACTGTCTCCTGTGTTTCCAGTCCATCATCAGGCCACAGGGCTGTGTGTGGGGACTCTCAAGGATTTTAGGGTTCTCAGGGCACAAGGCACATCTGCAGTGTGAGAAACCATCGGGTCCGGGTTACAGCAGCCTGCCTTGGACTGGCTGAGCCCCTGTGGCCTCTTGTCTCCCTCCTAGGGGCCTGTCCTGAGGTCCTGGCCCGGCAAAGAGCAGCAGCTGCCTGCCTGCTGGAGGTGCTCGCAGACCTGGATCGTGCCCATGAGGAGTTCCAGCAGCAAGAGCGAGGGAAGGCGGCCCTGGGCCCACTTGGCCCCTGAGGAAATGCCACAGCTAGCCCGGAAGGAGGAGCAAGGAGGTGGGGGGCCCTCTCCTCAGCGCATCCTGCCCCAGGAATCTCCTGTCTCCTTGTACCTCTTTGATTCTGTGGTTTGGAGGCTCCCAGAGACGTACCTCGTCCTGTGTGCCTTGAGTCCAGAACTCAGGGCATGGAAGCCCTTTGGCAGGGGCTAGCCTTGCACTGAGCGAATCTTGCTCTCTGGGTTGATTCAGACTGGAGTGGATAGGATAAGGAATCTGACTTATTTGACTGAGACCGGGGTCTCTGCTTCACCAAACTGGCCTCTATCCATACCAAGGAGGCCAGCCTGGCTCTGAGCTGCTGGATACAGCTGGACCTGAATTCCTGAAGCCCATGTGATGTTGTTGCCCCAGATAGGCACTAAATGGGCTCACTCCTTCCTGTTTTTGTGTCTGCTAATCCCTATAACCTCACTGATTCTTCTGTACCCTGCCCTTGGCCTAGGACCCCAACCACAAGCTTCCAGAATCAGGTACCCTCAGGAAGAACCAAGGCTGGGTGGGGGTCCAGTGTGCCACACTCAGACCCTTGGAGCCTGGGAGACCTTGGGCCAGGCTCTTTGTCTCTCTTTGGGGCTCAGATTACCCTGTATAAAAAGAGGAGGGAAAGTCTAGATGTGTGGTTTTCAAACTGGATTCCAATGAGGTAGTTCAGGAGCCAGAGAGGGGTTTCTGTGACTGTGGGTCAAAGACTACCCGCTGGAATGTCTGCTAGAAATGCAGATTTCTGAGGCCCAGCCAGTTACTGACTCAGAATCTGAAGGTATATGAGGGCAAGAATCAGGGTTCTTTAACAGATTCCTTAGGTCATTTGGATGAGCACCAGCTTTGAGGACTATAGGCTTGGGGAGTGGGCAATTTTATTTTATCTTATTTTTACAGTCCGGGGTCTCACTCTGTTGCCCAGGCTGCAGTACAGTGGCATGATCATAGATCACTGCAGCCTCAAACTTCTGGGCTTCAGCGATCCTCCCACGTCAGCCTCCAGAGCAGCTGCGACTACAGGTGCAAGCCATCACGCCTGGCCAATTTTTAAATTTTTGTAGAGATGAGGGGTCTCGCTATGTTGCCCAGGCTGGTCTCAAGCTCCTGGCATCAAATGAGCCTCCCGCCTCGGCCTCCTTAGTTGCTGGGATTACAGGCGTGAGTCACAGTGCCTGGCTTGCAATTTTATATGCCAGGGTTTGGGTTGAGGTTTTGTCTGAGAATGAACCACGGAGTACAAATGTTTGGGAACACGTGACTGGCAGAACTGGAAGGGCCTCCAAGGACTCATTTCCGGTGTTGTGTCACTAGGGGGTGGGACAGAAACCAAAGCCTACCTGGCAGGGGATCAAGTAGACCAGGAAAGACACGGCGCTATCCCGAGGCTGGCCAGCAGGGGTTGCCCGAAGCCGCAGCATCACCAGAGCTGCAGGGGCGTCCTGGCATGTTGCAGAGAGGCTGATTTAAGGCTGGGGTCCATCCCTGTCTTTCCCTAGTTAGAACCTGACCCTTCTCCCCAAGGACAGGGTCCTGAGATCCTGATGAACTGATCACAGTGTCTCCCAGCTCCTCCATATTCTCCCTGAGGCTCCCAGTTCTCCGCCCGAGTTCCTTGTTTCTTGTCTCTTGTCATTGTGCCAGGGAGCAGATGTGTGCATTGCCTCGTGCTCTTGTGAAAGAGAAGGGTACTTTCACCTTTGCATTCTTGGAGACTAGGACTAGGAGGGTCTGTCACTGCTCCACTGCCCCCACCCCTTCCGGCCCGAGGCAATGACCCTGAAGTTGCCATTCTCTTGCAAGCCATCACTCCCCAATGGGGCTGACTGCAGCCCCCAGGAACAGAGCCACCCACCCCTCTCTTGGCAGGAAAAGACCAGGCGAGGAGGAGAAAGACCATTTATTTCTCCACCCACAGTGGGACTGGTAGGTTTTGAAAAGAGCAATCGCTGGCATACCTTTAAATCTTGGCTGACTCCCACCGTGGCAGCCAATCAGCAGAGGCAGAGCTGGTGAGTTGCCTGGGCAACGGGCCCCTGGTTGGCCGGAGACGATTAGCCACCCCACTGCCCACTACCAACGAAAGGGAAATTGACTCTCTGCTGTCCACTCTGCTTTAAAATACATGGGCCCAAACTAGGCCTCCTCCTCTCGCTCCTGAAGTCAGAAGCGCCAGCCTTTGGCTCTCAAAATTGGGAGTGATTAGGTGGAGAGGATGGGACAGGGAGGATGGGAGAACAGTGCCTTTATCTGGGACAGACAGAAGGCCTGGAGATGGGAACGGAGAAGGAGATCAGAGTCCAGAGAGATGAAGAGGGACAAACACAAAATCAGGACCCTCTAGTCCCCGCTTGCACTGGCCATTCTTTTGTAGAACTGCCCAGTCATCTGGGGGCTTCCACCCCATGGGCCCACAACTGCCCAATCAGTGGGTGGCAGACATGGGTGATGACATGGAATGGGTGAGGCATCGGGGGTACACCGAGTTTCCCAAGTCCATGTTTGCCCCCCGAGCCCTGGCAGGCCCCTAAGGGCTTGCCCTGCTTCCTCCGGTTTGCAGACAAGGCTGTACAGATGCAACTGAGACACAGATGGGGATCCACATGGGGGGGTCATGGGGTCTTTCTGTTGCTTCTCTTCCAGCTTGGGGGCAAGTAGAGGCACGTGGGTGTGCGTGCATGAGTTCAACAGGACATGTGTGTGTGTGTGTGAGGGGGCGGGTCTCTGTCTTTTTGGTAGGGAGGTTTCCAGTACTCTCTGCACGGCCCTCTCAGGGAGCTATGATTCGGAGCCAGCCTGACATGCCATCTCTCTTCATCCCAGCTGCCACCAGGCAGGTCCCCTGAATGGCTGCGGCTCCTTCCGCAGGCTCCTCCCCAGCCCTGAACCTGGGCCACCAGGACACACCTGGCGAAGGAGGCATTTGCCGGACCAGGGGCAAAGCAGGAGGGAAGGTGGGCAGCCTTGGGCCTCAGGCCTTGGCTGCAGCCTCGGATACACCCTGGGCTGTGAGCTCAGCCAGCACGTTGTCTAGGTAGCTAGCGTCCGGGTAGCCGTGGCCCGTGAGGTTAGATCCAAATTCGGTCTTATGGTGGATCTCGTTCCACACCACGGTGTCTGACTCGCCCGTGGTGTTGGAGGTGCCGATGGTGAAGATGAGCCTTCTTTCCCAGGCCGTGATGAGCAGCCGCAGCACCTGGGGGGACAGGGACACGGTGGGGCTGGGCGGAGGCCACAGGCAGCCTCCAGCCCAGCAGCCTCAGCCTCCCTCCCTCCCCTGCCACATCATGGCTACCTTATGGTTTCATCCATTGGCACCGACTACGTACTGCTGGCTTTGCCATTTTCTTTACATTTGTATTTCCTGAACTGCCAGTAAAAGCTCTTTCCAAGTTATTTGTTTGTTTTTTCTTTCCTTTCCTTTTTTTTTTTGGTGGGGGGGACAGAATCTTGTTGTGTTGCCCAGGCTGGAGTGCAGTAGTGCCACCAGAGCTCACTGCAGCCTCGAACTCCTGGGCTCCAGCAATCGTCCCACATCAGCCTCCCGAGTAGCTGGGACTACAGGTAGGCACCACCAAGCCCAGCTAAAATTACAAACTTTTTGGAGAGACAGAGTCTCACTATATTGCCCAGATTGGTCTCAAACTCCTGGCCTCCCACCTCAGCCTCCCCAAGTGCAGGGATTACAGGTGTGCCCCACTGTGCTTAGCCTGCCTGTTTCTTTCTTTTTTTTTTTGTGATGGAGTCTTGCTCTGTCACTCAGGCTAGAGTGCGGTGGGGTGATCTTGGCTCACTGCAACCTCTGCCTCCTGAGTTCAAGCAATTCTCCTGCCTCATCCTCCCCGGTAGCTGGGACTACAGGCACACTTCACCACTCCCGGATTTTCGTATTTTTAGTAGAGATGGGGTTTCACCGCGTTGGCCGGGCTGGTCTCAAACTCCTGATCTTGTGATCCACCTGCCTCGGTCTCCCAAAGTGCTGGGATTAGAGGCATGAGCCACCGCACCCAGCCCTGCCTGTTTTTTTTTCTGGGGTGAAGAAAGCATCTGGCAGCTCTCTGCTCTATTTAGTTTGGACTCCACACTACATTAAAGAGCAACTTGTAAATTAGTTACTAACATTCAAAAGCCTAGAGATTTCCCATGAAAATCTGGATTTCTTGGTGCTCTTGAAAAGCAGAAAGTCAAATCAGACAGTCTGTAGGGTGATGGTGAGAGCTCAGACTGCCTGGGCAGTCTCACTTAGTTTCTGTGTGACCACGGTCAAGTGACTTGCCCTCTCTGAAGCTTTGCATCTTTGTCTATAAAATGGGGTCAGGATCTTGACCTCAGCGGCTGGGGAAAGGAGGTAAGATGTGTGAAGCCGGTGGCCATGGTCACTGCTGTTTCGGTGCTGCTTTGGGGAGGAATGTGAGAACAGGGATTGGGAATGATGGGGACCGCAGGCCCAGGCCAGTGGTTGCTGGAGCCCCTGCCTGCGCCTATCTCCCGTGCCCTCACGACTGGGCACCCACCTTCCGGCCTTTCTCATTGTTGGGTAGATAGCAGTGGCGAGGGAATCCTCTTGCGGTGAACTTCTTTCCGGGGTTGGGGTGCTCAGGGCCCTGCAGGGAGGGACAGTCGCAGGGATTTAGACCATGAACAGGTGGTGGCAGGGCAGAGGAGCGTCTGGAGGAGTCGGAGGGGAGTGGGGGCTGGGGGCCAGAGAGGCAGAATGGGAGTCCACCTGGATGCCTGTGGGGATGTCGTAGACGATGCGGATGGTCTGGGTGTCAGGGAAGCCAGGCAGCGAGTGGGGGATGAGGTGGAACTCCATCTTCCCAGGCGGCTGCGTACCCGTCTTCTCCCCGTAGATGGCCTTGCAGGTGGGGCACTGCAGGCTGCCATCCTGGGCAGGGGAGGCTGGCAGTGAGTTCCCAGTGGCCCCCCAACCCCACTCCGTTCCCTGCCCACTCCCCAGCCACTGTCGCGCCCAACCCACCTTGTTGCCATTGGAGTACATGGCCACGAGGCACAGCAGGTGGTACATGTGGCCGCAGCGGCCCAGGCGGCCCACAAGCTCAGGCCGCACGCCCTTGTGCCGAAGCACGCCCTCGTAGCCTGACGCTGTGACCAGTCGCTCCATGCAGATGGTGCAGTCCTGCAGGTGGGCAGCAGGGGAGACTGAGGACTGGGAAGGGCAGGGCACCTACTGGGTCGGCACTGCCCCTCGGCGGGTCACCATAGGCAGTAGACGACACTCTCTCTGGCGCCCATTTGGCAAAGGGAGACAGGACATACCCTCTGCCCCATACATTGTTTTCTTTTCTTTTCTTCTTCATTTTTATTTTTTATTAAGAGACAGGCTCTGTTGCCCAGGCTGAAGCACAGCAGTGCAATCATAGCTCACTGCAGAGTCGAACTC